TGTGTGTGTGTGTGTGTGTGTGTGTGTGTGTGTGTGTGTGTGTGTGTCAATGAGAAACAAGGAAAAATATGGAGAGTATTCATCAAGTAAAGACTACATATTAAATCGCACACCACATTTAGAGTATAAAAACCCAGCGTGGAAACTAACACACCACTGTAAAGCAATTATACTCCAATAAAGATGTTTAAAAAAAACCAAAAAAACCCAGCATGGGCTAAGGCCATACCAACCTATGTTCCAGCCACCAGTGTTGAATCCTGGGTCGGACATACTCGAGCAGGAACCAGAGGATGTAAAGCTGGGCTGCAGAGCAAACAGGAGCAGTGTGAGAGTGCCATTCCCCGTGACGGCGACCTCTGGGAAAAGTCAAACTCACACCAGGAAACCCCCAACTTACGTATCGACTGTGGGACACCACAAGGTTAGATGAGCGGCTGGGAAAAGGCCCGAAGGGGTTTGGTATCCCCTGCGGCCGAGACTGGGCTTCAAACACACTGCAGAGCATAGCCAACGTCTGCACGTCCCGGAGCCGGCAGTAATGAGCCAGCCTGGAGAGAAAGGGGGCAGGAGAGGAGAAGTCACGAGAAGGCCAGGGGGAAGGATGACTGTCACGACAGCGGCGGGTTGTTGCCATCAGGGTCGGATGTCAGAATTTTTTTTTAAATTTATATTATTGAAGGATAGTTGATTTACAGTGTTGTGTCAATTTCTACTGTACAGCCAAGTTCTTCAGTTATACATATATATACATTCTTTTTCATACTCTTTTCCATTATCATTTATATAGAATGGATAAACCACAAGGTCCTACTGTATAGCACAGGGAACTATATCCTGTGATAAACCATAAAGGAAGGGAGAATTCTTGATTCTGCCTCAAAAGCCCCCATCAGGAACGAGGGCTTTCTGCAGATCCGGGGGCATGATCGACTTTGAGTTTGGCTAAATTTGTTTTGGAATAACATGTATCTGAGTATGACACATGACCTAGATATAACCAATCTGAAAGCTCCTAGCTGGCAACCAGGCCTGGGCTCAGACTTGAATGGAGCTTCTTCAAGAATTAAGGAGACTCAGCTCACATCTGAGTGAGGCCATACATGCTCTCTCGGCCTCCCCAACTCCAAGGAGGCATCACACTGCTTCCTGGAGGGGTTCTATGTCCTCCATTCATATGACCTAAGGCTACATGGAGGTGCTCAGAGAGCACGGTGCCACCACAGTATGGGGAGCAGGTCACAGACTCGGGAGGTGGCATTATGAGTCTGAGCTATTAAGTAAGAACAACAGGGGATAGTTTTACCTTTTAGGTCCTCACATCCCCTTTGCTCCTTTCAGTACAACTGTGCTAGACAGAATGTGAGGTAGAGATCCCAGGGACTTGACACTTTCCTACCAAGCAATGTCTAATAGTTTTAAGGTGTTTTCACACTATCTCATGAGCCTCATATGAAGTGGGTAGAACAAGCACCATGAGCAACCTGAAGCATAAGCACGTGTCCCAGGTCTGGCCTCAACGAGTAGGTAAAGCAAACCTCCACCTGAAGGAAGGAGCGCTTTTCCATCTCTCTGTCAGGACCTGGGCCTCCCTGTCTTGGAACCTCAAGTGGTTTTCCCTGGTTGTGAATCATTCTGCACACTGTATTTCCAGTTTGCCATATTTCAGTGCAATAAATCAAACACAAACTCAAGGTTTTCATAAACTGTCTAACAGGGTGAATGCATCGTGGCCTTTGGAAAACACGAAGGCCAACGTGCAATTCTCTAACCTGCTCTCAGGGGCGAGATTCTATAGCACCCAAGAAACTTTCCACCTCAAGAACTCAAACTCCTGTGTTCAGACTGATGTACTTCTGGGCCAAAGCATAACTCTCTCAAGGACACATGAGTCCCAAAGCCTTGTTATAAATGACAAATACGGTATAATTCCTTCTGCTCTAAGAAGTGAGTTCTGTACAGAAATTATAGCAGCCCTAAAAGGAAAGGTCTCACTTCCTCTTCTCATGCCTCAGGCCTTTGTACTTTTCTCTTAGACAAAAACACTGAAAGTGTTTACAGACCTAAAATTGACATCACTCATTTTCCTCACTTTTAGCGCTCAAAACCTACAGGGACTCCAGTAGCTGTCGCCCAAATGGATGTCGAGCCCAGGGTGTTTCCAAATCTGGGTCAGACTTCGGACCGAGGCAAAGATCCGTAGCTACTGTAGCCAGCGACCAAACCTGCACAGATCAAAGAGAAATACCCACACTCAGACTGGTAAGCACAGGACCGCGAACCACGAAAGAACCCCACCTCCTCCTCCACACACAGCCTAAAGCCTTGCTACTCTGGGGGCAGCCAAAGCTGGGAGCTTACTGAAATGCAGAGTCTGACACCCCACTCCAGACCTACTGAAGCAGAATTTGCATTTTAGCAAGATTCTCGGGGGACTTGTGTGCACATGTGAGAAACACCAGCCTTAAAAGCTTTTATGAAGCAGATGACAGAGGAATGACACCATGCAACAACTTCCCTGCATGGTCTATTTAACCACTGACTCATGTGACTTTTTCTGCTGCTTCATTAGTGAACTGGCAGGGAGAAAAAAATGCATTCGGTATCACACTTAAGATTGTCCTTTGCCCAAATAATGAAAAACTTTCCATTACAAAAGTTTCAGTATACTCTCTGAAGTTACAGAAAAATAGGCCAAGAAAAAATAGACTCGGCTTTCTTTTGGTTGACATCAAATCTGAGGAATATCCCCAAACTTGAAACCTCACGGGGCTTGGAGTCCTCAAGCAGAAACTAATGTCCATGACGTGTCTACTAGATCCAAGATTTAGCACACACTAAATATAAATACATCACACCATCAACAGAGTCCCCTCCCGTCTATGCCTTTAAAAATGGAATACTGGGGACTTCCCTGGTGGTCCAGCGGTTAAGACTCTGCGTTCCTAATGCAGGGGGCCCAGGTTCGATCCCTGGTCAGGGAACTAGATCCCACATGTGTGCCACAACTAAGAGCCCACATGCTGCAACTAAGCAGCCCGCATGCTGCTACTAAAAGATCCCACACGCTGCAACTAAGACCCGGCACAGCCAAATAAATAAATAAATAAATATATATATATTTTTTAATGGAATATTATTTTTGGGAAATCTTTCTTACTAGCAATACATCACTGTATGCCCACCAACTGGAAAACACTACTAGACTCTGAGAAAAACCCGAAAGGAAGAAGACACAGACTTTGAATCAAGGAGTTTAAAATAGAAGAAAAAAAAGAATAAGCAAATAAATATACTGAAAAACAGGTATAGAAACACATCAGATATGTTAAAAAAAAATCAATTAAATCGTGTGGCTCCAGTGTACTTAAATAACCCCCACAAGTATTGGTTCAAAAGAAAAATATTCATTTCTATGATCAATGGACCACCTGGATGGTTGCTGGAAGAAGTTCATAGGTTTCTGGGATAGGAAAGGATGTTTACTACCCTGGCTGACAACTTGGGCCCATTATTTCCTCACTTGTAATACACGTTTCCTAAGTGCCTTCAACAGAAATAGTTGACAGGTTTATTCCTGTAACTCTTATGCAAAACAGTAGACACATCATCTTCAATATGTGCAAAAAGAACAACAACAAAAAATTCTCCAAGCATTTGCACTGATGTCATTTCCAGTCCGTTAAGGAAGACCACACCACAATGATGACTGCAATTGCAAAACCAGCAGCATAATTTGCCACATACTGGGTATTTACATCTACCAGATACAGGTATGGAAACTGTATGCATATTACCTTATTTAGTTCTCATAAGGACCTTAGAAGTATTGTTCCTATTTTATAGTTGAGGAAACTGAAGTTCAGAATGATTAGGTAGCTGCCTAGGATCACACAACATGAAAGGGACAGAGCCCAGATGTAAACCCAGGTATGTCTGAACCCCAGGGAAGGGTCTTTCCACTTCACTCGGACTAGCCTGAACTTCCAAATCAACCCTGCCATAAAAGTCCTAAAAACTTAAAAGAAAAAAAAAAAAACACTTTAGGAAGTAATTTTTCCTCAGATAATGTTTTTTCAGCACGTGAACCAATCTTCTCATCAACCCTATGAGGCAATTATTCTCTTGGGTCTCATCTGACCAATATACAGAGGCTGAGAGAGTCGGAAATACTTGGCCCAGTGTTACACCATTACGGAGCAGAGTCAGGCTGACGCCTCCTGTTAGAAATTCCCCACTATTTCCACGACTCTGTTTTGCCTTCTTAGTGTTTGCAGAATTTTAGGTGGCTGGGTCCTTAGAGAAACAGATTAAATCCATGACTCTAAGTTTCACTTAAAAGGGTTTGCAGCAGAGACTTGACGGTGTTTACTAGGAGACAAAAGGAAATCTTAGGGATTTTTCAATCAGATAAAAATCAAGGGGAGGCCTTAGCTCTGGGTCATTTGGAGGGTTACAAGGAAAAAACTGAGCAGATAGGACAGCAGCTCATACTTTCCATTGCTCAATCTAATCCTCATACTAAAGAATAAAAGATGCAATAGACACAGAACATAGATTAGTGGTTGGCGAGGGCTGGATGGGGGAAGAGGGGCTTGAGCAGTGACAAGAGGTGTGGGGTGCCTTTACAGGGTAAAGGAAATGTTCCAAAATTGTTTATGGTGATGATTGCAAAATGTTGTGAATATACTAAAAGCCACTGAGTGGTACATCTTAAATGTGTAAATTGCATGGTCTATGGACTATAATCTCAATAAAACAGTTTAAAAAAAAAAAACACCAGGAATTCCCTGGTGGTCCAGTGGTTGGGAATCCACGCTTTCACTGTGGAGGGCCCAGGTTCGATCCCTAGTCAGGGAACTAAGATCCCGCAAGTCGCGTGGCACAGCCAAACAAACAAAAATAAATAAATAACTAAAAAACAAAAAACCTCACCAATATAGGAGCAACTTGCTTAAGCACTGATGTGTTTCTGCAAAGATGAAGGAAATTTTAATTCTTGTAGGAAATTTTAATTCTTGTAATATTACACCTTGTTTTAGAACTGAATGTGTCTCTATCTTAAGGAATGCCTTGGTAAACCTTTTATGAAATGAAGCATTTTTAAAAGTAAAAAACAAACAAAACAGAACTGAGGGTGTAAATGGCAAAGATAAAGACGTCCAAATTTACGTACTAACAATCACCCTGCCCTAGAATAGAAAAGGGATGTTATAAAAACACTTAGTAAATGCTTTAGGACCTCCTCAACTAAGCACTAATAAGAAAAACATCTAAGGGATTTAAAAAGCTGCTCTAGCCCTACAGTTTGGCAAAGAAAATGGGAAAGAAATTACAAAATAGGAGGCACACCTTGAAATGTCACTGAACCACAACAATAAAGTGAAAGGAACCTGCTCCAAGAGAAAAATCCAGATCTCCAACAAAAGGAATGGAAAATACCTGGACGAGATCCTTCCTTCCAACAAGCAAGGCAGAAGTGGCATTCTTCTGACATGTTTCTTGAATATCATTCACATTCAATCTGAAATTTAAGAAGAATTAAAAAGTTTCTTTCCAGTTGACTTCTAAATCAATTACTCCTGGTTTAACAGATAAAGTAAAAACTGCCTCTTTGGTTGTCACTCAAAATGTTTTATTCGTATTGGCCTTAAGCTCCCTTTCTACGTAACATGGAGAAAAAGCTTACCTACAGCTGATGTTACACTGTGAGTTCAGGCCTGGGGAAGGTGAAATTGCTTACCTCTTCGAAGTCAGGAAAGGAGGCCAGATTCAAAGAACAATTTGCCAGCTAGCTTTTCTGGGGAGTTCCCCAGGCTTAAGGGTTGAATAAAAATTGATTTAGATATGTATAATGCTGACTGCAGTTTCTAACAAGGAGTAATGTGTTGTACATAAACAACAAAATAAATATTTTTTATTATGTGTTCAAGTTCAGGAAGAAGGGGAACCACAGGTCAGCAGCTTCTGTGTGCCTGTCACCCACCTCCCAGCTCCCTTCAACCAAAGTAGCTCTGCTTTTAAACTGTTTTACATATTAAGTACAGGAGGCAGAATCCTGAGACTGTGCCCAAGACTGCTGGCCCCTGCTGTACAGGCCTTGTATAAACCCTCCCTTTAAACGGGGTCAAGACCAGTCAATACTGATGACATATCACTCCTGTAATTGTCAAAAGGGAGATTCTCCTGGGTGGGCCTGACCTAATCAGATGAGACCTTAGAAAGACAGTGAAGCATCAGTGAGACACTTCTGCTGGTCTTGGAGAAGATGAAATTCCCTGAGTTCTCCGGCTGCAAGGAACTGAATTCTGCTAACAACCTGAATGAGTTTGGAAGAGGACCCTGAGCATTGGTTAAGACCACCACGCGGCTGACTTCATAATTTCAGCCTGGGGAGACCAGAGCAAGGACCCAGGTAAGCCACGCCCAGACTCCTGACCCAGAGAAACTTTGAGATAATAATGTGTGTTGTTTAAACGCTAGGTCTGTGGTAATTTGCTATGCAGCAGAAGAAAGCTAATGCACTGGGCCTCTTCTAAAAAGGATTCCAGTATCTCAAAAACTAAAATAAACAGGGAGTTCCCCAGTGGCCTAGTGATTAGGATTCCAGACTTTCAACTGCCTGGGTTCAATCCCTCGTCAGGGAACTGAGATCCTGCAAGGCACGGCCAAAAAATAAAATAAACAACTTTGATATTCATATCTAAGTGGGAAGCACGGCATAGTTGAAATTCTGAACTTACATGTATAGTTCTCCCAATGACTTGTGAACAGGAAGAAGGCAGGCAATATCCTGAATGATCACTTTCCCAGCAGCCTTGATTGGTCGATTCCCAGAGTCCGATCCCTCACGCTTACTTTTCCATCTCCTTGATTTCTGGGGGAAATGACAAGATATAACTAATGGGGACTTTGATGAATGGAAACCTACATTTGCAGAGCACACCATAGTTGGGTCATTGGTAATTTGCAGAGACCTTGCATTACATCATGCCCACAATTATATGAATCAGCATCTGTAGAAAATAAAAGGATGACAAAGGGCATTGAGCTCATGGCCCAGAATCCTAAGAGGAAAATAAGCACCTACTGCAGTGCTATATACATTCTGCAGGTGCTCAAAAACACCTGGAAGCCAGAATTTAAAAAAGAAAGAACAAGTAAATAAGTTAGTAAAGACCACAAAAATGTGGGAGAAGAGCAACTTTTAAGGTTGGGTTCAGCCCTAGGTTCAAATTCTTGCTTGAAACTAATTAAAGTTTTCTTTTTCTTTCCTTTTCAGACAACTTAAATTGGATTTGTTGAAATTTAATTCAGACACAGCAGTGTGGGATCTGCAAACTTTCATCTATGGGAGGCAGACACAGAAACTGAGCAGCTCAAGAAAAGTTACCCTGTCTTCCCTAGCAGATTTGAATTATTTCTAAAAGTGATCATTTAGAATGTCAAAAATACCTGAGCAGAGGGACCTGGGTAATGGATGTGGAAGATCATAAGCAATTATCCTATTTCCCCAGAGCCTTCTCTACAAACGGCTACAGAGGAGCCTGTATGTGGGAAATGAGAGATGTCCTGGAAAATGAGAATTATGAGAGTGTAGCCCCATCTGGTATCTTCAAAATGACGACCAGCTAAGGGAGCAATATTCTATTTTATTTTATTGCCAGAAGTTAGAAAGGGGTCGCCAAAGTGATTCATCTCAGGAGGGAAGTGACATATTTATTATTAACAAAGGAGGCAAAAGGAACCAGTGAAAGGGCCCTGTAATGTGGAGTCAGAAAACCAAGTCTTACTGGTCTTATTAACACATGCCCTGTCTCATTGCGATCCCAGGCACGTTCCTTTTTTGCGGTGAATTCAGGCTTGTGTCACTCTCTCTTTGCTCACTGGTAACTCTGGGCTCCTGATAAGCTCTGTGGTTCCAATCTCACAAGGTTAATCAGGGGACAATGAAAAGGTGAGACTGCAAAGTGTCAACTGAAAAAGTGCAATTTAAAAATCTGTAATTATTATAAATGTCCATAAACTCTCGGGCATGTAGAGTATATTATTATTTAGATGGTTCATAGATAAATTCGTTTTCCACCAGTGATTTTGATACAATCACTCTTCCATAAATCAGTCATGGTCTATATCCAGGCATTTCTGACCGTTCACGTCCCATCTAACGCCCAAAGTTGTCCAACGCACGTAACTTCCCATAGGATTAGTAAGCGGCATGGAACCTGCTAAACCCAGGACACCCGGACTCAGTGCATGGCAGGTAAATGTAGATGTTTAGCTGAAGTATTTGAATTGTTCAACATCGTTTGTAAATACATATGCTATCAATTTGGAATCTTAACCTATTTGGTCTTAGAAGCAGTTCAGTTACTATGTATCCATACACAAGTCATTATTCTGCAACACAAGAGGAAACTGCATCTATTCTTGGGGGCTAGTAGCCCTTCAATTCTCTGCTGGCCTTGGTTATTTTCTAAAGAAGAACTGTGATGTGGGTGCAAGTAAGGGGTGAGTGTGCTAACGAGAAAAACGGCCTGTCAGGATGGGCTGGAGCCAGGCAGCTTTACTGACATTAGACTGTGCTGTCACACGTGCCCTGAGCACTAGGACCGGTTTTACAGAGAGTAACTCAGCATACACTGACCCTGCAGTGATGGGACGGCACAACATGGTTAACTAGAACACGGAGGGCATCAGTCCATAAACTCACTTCACTGTGACTTTTATCCAGACTTCTGGAAGTTTAAGAATCCCAGGAAATGACATACCCACAAGGCCCCACATAATTCGTCATCTCCAATGACATTTAGGGTACTGGATTTTTTTTTTAAAGGCAGAAAGAAAAGATCTACATTCAAAAGATTCCATCTGGAATCAAATAGGATCCATCTAATTGGGGCTTCCAGGTTTGTTGAAAGGCTTCTAAAACAGTTCCAGGCACTGACTCTGGCTCCTTATTACAAAGAGAAAATAAGAAGCCCTTCAACAATTGAGCAATTCATGACAGATCCGTTTAACTGAACAGTGGAAACCAATGGACACCTCGTGAGGGATGGGGTCTACAGCTTTCAGACCACACTGGAAACATCCACAGTTGCCTGACTTTTTAAGCAAACCCAATGAAAGCATAATATTAAGGCCCATGTGCCCAAAGTGGTTCATTTGCAAATAGACTAGTTCACGTCAGAATGTTTTTCCTAGCAGACTTGAAATATTTCTAAAAAGGATCATTTTCAGAATGTCAAAAATACTTGAGCAGAGGGACCTGGGTAATGGATGTAGAAGAAGATCACGAGCAATTATCCTATTTCCCCAGAGCCTTCTCTACAATGGCCAGAGAGGAGCCTGTATTTGGGAAATGAGAGACGCCCTGGACTTCACCAATGAGGATGTGAGCTTACTCAAGGCCACACTCCTAAGAGCTCAGCTTTGAACACAGGTTCTCAGGCTGCTAAGCCCATACTTGTAAACCTGCTTTTAAGAGTATGATTTTAAATTAAAAAGGGGGGAAAATTAAGTCCTGACTAAGTTACCTGTTAATATGTAAATAGTTTGATCCATATAAAAACAGATCCATTTCTGCATATACAGAGATCATCTGATTCCAGTGAGGGCTGTCCAACACACCACTGTCTACAATTACTCACTTCTAAAGTCACTTCTCTGCCAAGCACTGCTGAGCCAGAGCAACGTGCAGACGCAAGCAGCTCCTGTGGCTACAGGGCTTAACACACCAGGCTCAGGCCAAGGTGCTGTGCTTCAGGCCAGGCTCATGAGCCTGAACCTCGCGCCGTTTAACTTCCTTTTTGGATTTGTTAGGATTCAACACATTCAGAGAAAAGAAAACTCAGGGTCCCAAGAGACGTCTCAGGGCTCTTCTCCCATTTGCAGTCTTGGGTGACAGAGATTGGCAGAAACGGGCCTGTGTGAGTCATCAATAAGTCCTGGATGAAAATGTGAAGATAGTGGTCTGGGCAGCTTTCTGCAACTACCCTTCACAGAATTACAGAAGTCACTGTCTGTATTTCCTGGGACTTCCTTGTCAGCTTCTGGAGACACCAGGCTTCCAGGTGCTTCTCTGTTTGCTCTGTGCTGATGCACAGGTGGTGCTTTACGGACCTCGATAAGCTGCCTTAGAGCCTACAATAGGAGGAGATTCCCTAACACAGGATCACCCTCATGATAGCTGCCACCAAGAATCGAAGTGTGAAAGCAATTAAGGGACAGCTGTTTTTGTTCATTTAATCCAGCAAGGAATAACTATAAAACATTATAAAAAATCTTTAAGGGGGGGGTCACAAAATATTTTTTCTTCAAACTTGGAGGTTGATGGCTTTTAAACATGAACTATCTCCCCTTCAGGCTATGGAGGTCACTCAGTAAACCTGTCTCATGGCAAATTATTCTGGGGATTCAAATCCAACGAGGCTGCCTAAACAAAGACGTGGTAGATCTCAAATCAGGCGTCAGGGCCTAGGACCCAGGTGCTCCCTAAGAAGCACGGAGTGTTTCCTCTAGTGTTCTGGCAACAAAAATGGTTCATACCTCATCCACACCTTCCCAAGATTTCTTTGCCTTAGTCTCTTGCTGGAGATTTTAGAATAACCTCTCTAGTCTGAGCACCTGTCAGGTGACGACAACAATGACACCCCGGGATGAGGTGTGGCTGACCTTTCCAGGTGAGAAAAGGGCACAGGGGCCCCAAAGCCCCCTAAAACCTCCTGCATTGCTCCAGTCCCACTCTGACGGGCTTAAATGTGGATACGTTTCTGTGCAGTAAAATCGGTACCTCTGGGAGGTGAAGGACTCTGCACTTCTCTTAGGTCATCTCAATGCCCCATCGATAGAAAACACCCCTTCCCCACAGATTCCATGAGCAGGGATCGAGGGAGGAGAGACAAAGCAAGACACACAAGTTATCACACAATGAGACTGGGATGCTCCTCTGAACAGACCAAGAAGGTGTTCATGGAATTACGGGAAACAGGACAGGGAGGATCGGGGTGGGGAGGGAGGGGCGGTGGGAGCGGGGAGGCACTGGTGCAGAGAGCACTGAATGACAACCAATAGCCAGCTTGCGACTGAACCACCAGTGTTACTGCTACAATCGGAGGCAACATCGATGGCAATAAATGGGTTAAATGTAAAAACAGCCCAAGAATAAGCCACCAACTGCTTCGCAGCAACCCCGTCGACAATGCATAATCATCAGCAGAGTGGGCAGTGAGTCAAAATGAGTTCCTCTTTAAATAGCAGCAGGAGCAGGGACTTCTGGAAAAATCCGTGGAAACGCAGCAGTTGGGTTGGTAGGACAGGCTTTCTGAGGAAAGATGGCCATGGAGGCAGCTCCACCCCCAGGTTGTTGGGCAGCAGTGGAACTTGCTAATCAAGGTTCCTGATTTCAACCGGTTTTTATATGAAAAGGTTATAGGACTATGCCCCTAATTTTTTTTTTTTTTTTTTTTTTACACCAAATGAAACGTACACAAAAGCCTCAAAGCTGCCTTGCACAGCCTGAGGTCACCATGGCACGACTGAAACACAAAGGGGGTGGGAGAGGAAGACAGAAGAGGAGAGAGTAAGCAAGAGAAAAGGAAGAGAAGATGTCCATTGCAGAGGTTTTATTGTCAATGCAAAATACTGATGGCAAGGAAAAAATTTGTTCCAGGAAATTCCCAAAGGATTAAAATCTAGCTTCAGTGTCATGCCAATGAAGCAGGTGGGCACCTCCCTCTTTGAACTCGAGCAAGACGATAAAAACGGAGACAAAATGGTAGAAGCCTCTTATATCTTCCTCTGCTGCCCCGCCATGCCAAAGGTAGGCTTTTGAAAGCTCTGTGAAATTATACAAATACTCCAAGTGAAATCAGGTGAGCTAAAGGCTTATCACTGGGGTTCTTTCCAAGAAATCCAGCATTCAGCTTCATTTTCAAAGAAGTCCATTCACAATCCTTAACGATATCAGTATTCACCCATTTGAAACTGATAGAACCAGGAGGCAGTCCTTGGTGCCCGACTCCCAAGAGTGAGAAATTGATTATGCTGGTCCTGAAAACCAGCCAGCCTGTCATTTCAGGTTCCTCAAAGCCAGGCAGGTGGCATTTTATTCTTGGGCCTTTGGGCAGAGACAGGATTAGTTAAGGAGAGCATTTGCACAGCGCACAGTACCGGGAAGTCGTTAATTGCTTGTATGGACCAACGTCGCCGGGCAGAGCGAGGAGACATCTGTGCGTGAAAACGTTACACCCACGAGGAGGGAAGAAAAACACCAAGAAAATTAAAAGGGAAAAAATATAGAATAAAATGAAAGCTTCCCATACATCTGATGGATTCAAAGGTACCATAATATACTGCAAAATTGGGATGGGAATGACTGAAAAATCTGAAACTCAGCACAGCAGTATTTAGATTCCCTCACCCCCCTCCCAACCCATCACACTCCATACACAGCTTCAATGCCGTTGTCCTTTAGTCGGAAACACATTTCAAGGTATCAGGAGGCTGACATCCACACAGCTCTGACAGAGGAACTACGACGGAGATTTGTGGTTCTCTTACAAGAATTAAGATCGTAAGAAACAGGTGGAGGGACTTCCCTGGCGGTCCAGAGGTTAAGACTCCACGCTTCCAATGCAGGGGATGCGGGTTCCATCCCTGGTTGGGAACTAGGATCCCACATGCTGCGCTAAGACCCACACAGGCCAGCGCAGCCAAAAAAAAAGGAAACAGGTGGAGAACTCTGCTTCCCCTTCAAAAGCATACGTATGTGCGAGAAGCTTCTCATTCCTAAAAAGGAAGAAGTTCCTCAAGAGATTCAACACCGAATTGTTTTTGGTGTGTGGCTGGGGGGGGTGGGGCACGCCAGGGAAACTGAAGTCTTGACCTTGGGACTGCAGGACCATCCTCAGAGTGGTGCCACGAGGAAGTGAGAGCCTGAGAGAACTGAAGGGTGATGCTCCCCAGGGCTCTTGCTAACCACGGGAGCATCAGTGTGAAACTGGGAGCATACAACACTGTTTCGCAAAATCAGAAATTACTCTATTAACTTCAAGGCCTCCTCAGTTATTTACATTAAAGCTATTTTAGTGATGTCAACTGAAGTGAATGTGGGAAGCTGCAAAAATTTTTAAATGTTTACAGGGCAATGCCTGATGTTTATCTTAAGTCCTGGGCCTTCTGATTTACCCTAAGAATAAACAATATTTCATCAGCTATTAACAGATGGTCCAGTTACCAAATGAATGTTAGCATCTCTCTGTGCTTTCTAACTTCTTATATGAAATTTAATGGTTTTATTAATTTATTTTTACATCTCTCACATTTAAAAAAATTTTAAGAGCAAACACTGGAATTCCATCTGGAGAACCTCTGGGTGATATAACAAGATGACCTAAGTAGGGCAGGGTAAAAACACAAAAACAAGAAAAATGAGTATTAGTCCCCAGTGGCTCTAGGAAGATATTTCTGCAATCTCCAAAATACTCTATAATTCTTTCATTGTTATACTTTAATGCAGTTATATTCTTTTCCTTTCTTCTTACTCATTTAAAGCTCTCAGGGGTAGAGATCTGAACAAGAATAAAAGTATGCAGGAGAAAAAAAAAAAAAGTATGCAGGAGATAAAATTTGGGCTGAAAATGAAGACTTAAGCACAGAGAAATTTAGTACACTGGAATCGTTTCCAGGACAAAAGTAATAAAAGTGATATTATTTGACATTTGAAACTAGACACCCAGGAATCAGAAAATACTTCTCGAGGGATAAAACTGTTATCGTGTCCTCTGTGAGGAAAATAAGATGGCCATATTTCATTCCTGTAATTCCTTCCCCATGCCGTATGTAAATGGGATGGACGTGAACAAGCTTCAAGGAGAGTTTACAAGTTTATTTTAGATTCATCACAAAATAACTGACTGACCAGTTATTGATAACTGATTTTAACTTCTTACTAGGCTGAACCATGTGAAACTTTTTCTTAAGGTCAAAAATGCTCAAATATCAGCAGTTTCATATGATTTAACCTAATAATTACTATGTGTCATACATTAAAATGTGCCTCCCTCTCCCAGGGCTTCTAGGGTTCTTGGAATAGTCTATGTCTTGGAACAGTCTATTTCCTGTGATTGCTAATTGACTGAATTATAGACCTATGATTTGTGAACTTTTCTGCACATAGGCTATACATCAATACAAAAGTTTCATATGAAATTATAATAAAACTACCTCCCCCCCACCTTACTCGCTCACTGTCTGAAATACAATTCAGAGACCACTTACTATGTCATTCTAGGGGACTACAATGGCCTGTTTTCTGGGGAGAAGCAGCACACTGGGAATCACCCCAAACTGAAATATCACAATCCTTCCTCCACGCCCCAGCATATCCTGTCTGATAAGAGCTAATTATCTATGTGCCTTTGTTCCCTCTTCATGATTACAGTGTGTTTGTCGTAAAAGAGAGTCCAGACCATCAAAAATATAAATGTAGGCCTTACAAAGGCTTCTGCATTAGGAGAGGCTCCTTCTTGGAACTGGAGTTATTTTGATGAAACACGACCTTTACACACTATCACAGGGTCAAAAGTGCAAGTCCCAGCTATGCTGCCCAATCTGAACCCAAGCACGAGAAGCACGGGGCATGATGCAAAGGGGAATTCAGAACTGCCTCTTTGACTAACAGGTCTCCTCAACCTGGCCCTGGTGCTAAAGAAAATTCCCACATTTATTCAACCTTGAGTTTGTTTAGCTACTACATCAATAATAAAATGCCTTAGTTCCAACCAGTTTATCAAAGCTTCTCACCAGTTACTCGCTAGCTTGCAGAAAAAGAAAAAAAAAATTTTTTTTTGAATGTAAAGGACTTGGGAAGATAAAAGTGTTCTAAGAAGTTCTGTGACAGGTGCAGGACAGGGCGGGGTGGGGGGAGGCAGCGGTGGGGTGGAGAACTCCGTCAGAGATGCAAAGAAAGGGACTATGGAGCTCGCCAGAAAGGCAACCAAAAAATCATTTTCCCTGTTTGACTGAAGGTTTTGCCCAAGACTGGTCATGCCTCAAGCATCAGTTCCTGCCACTCATTTGTCACATACAACCCTAAGACCTGACAAAGTCAGCGACAGCCAACATCATGCAAACCAGGAAGGTTAGACACTACACTGTAATCAAAGTGAAGACACCTCCAACACCTGCTGGAAATTGGGGTTTTATTTTAAATAACTCAATTTTTAACAAAAAAACAAATTTTAATTATAGTCAATCCATCATTTCTCAATTAGTGGGAGAGAGCAACAAAGAATTCCTAAGGACTGAGTTTGTGAGTAGCTCAGTGGTAACCAGTTAATACATCATGTCAGTTAAAAGACAGTTTAAGCCAGACTCAACCTGATAACACAGAAAGTTCTCAGAATCATTCCCACGCTCTATCGATATTCTCTACACTGTCGTCACCAAAGGCTTCTGACAGCTTAATAGCTACTGTAGGGACGATGAGTTCCTTAAGAACCCAGGAACAGAAGGACAGTTTCAGGTGATTTTTGTATAAACCGGTCCATTCAAATGGGTACTTCGGTGCAGACTTTGTGAAAGTATAAAACCTCTTAGAGGTCAACTTGAAAACTTCCCACAACTATGAAGTTCCAAATATATCAGGATCCCAAGCCTTCTGAAGCATCCCTTAATTTGGTGACAAATATCAGAATACCCAGGAAGACCTGAAGCTACGTGATTCTATCTCAGAGGATGGGAATCGACTTCATGTATGGGGATCACAGGACAGGGTTAAAGGGGAGGGAAGAGTACGGATTATAACAACCAACCACCCCTCCCCCTCCTATATAATTTACAGTAGTTAAAAACCAACCGAAAGGAACAAAGCAACGGTCTTTCTTTAACACACTAAGTATGAAAGGGAAAGACCCCAGGGGGATCACTAATTTAGCTGCTGTGCGTGGCAGGCAGGGAGGCCAAGGACAAGAATCTGGGGAAGGGATAAGAATCAAAGGCCGTGGATCAGCCGCTTACCCGCTCCTTGTAGTAGAAGGAGCTGATGGAGACCTGCTCCTTCTCACTGCGCGTGGGGCTCCCGCTGTACAAACGGAGGTTCCCAGGGGCCTCTGTGCGGATCTTCATGGGCGCAATCAAGCCAGTATGATAGGCAGACAAAGCTGACAGAGACCTGTGGTTGAAAAGGCACAATTAACCATACTGGCTTGGATCTTTCCATAGTTCTAAGTGATGCCATTCTTAGCGCTTGATGAAATCAGGAGAAAAAGATGGATAAAATGGGGAAAAAATGGAAACTCCAAAAAGGAATCAAAGAGCACTTTTAGAACTGAAAAATGCTTTATCTGCAGAAGCGGAGAATGTTTCTAGGACTATATACATAGAAAATTCAAAGGAGTCTATAAATTACTTAAACTAATAAGTGAATTTAGATACAAGGTCAATCTACAATAATCTACTGTATTTCTATATATTAAAAACAAACATTTGGAAAATAATGAAATTGCATTTACGATAGCATCAAAACACATGCAATACCGGGCTTCCCTGGTGGCACAGTGGTTGAGAGTCCGCCTGCCGATGCAGGGGACACGGGTTCGTGCCCCGGTCTGGGAAGATCCCACATGCCGCGGAGCGGCTGGGCCCATGAGCCATGGCTGCTGAGCCTGCGCGTCCGGAGCCTGTGCTCCGCAACGGGAGAGGCCATAACCGTGAGAGTACCACACACACACACACACAAAAAAAAAAAACACATGCAATACCTAGGAACACATTTAAAAAAAAAAGTGCATGGAAAATATAAAATATTGCTGAGAGAAATTAAAGACTCAAAACAATAGAGAAATACACCGTGTTAATAGACTAGAAGATTCCAGATTGTTAAGGTGTCAATTTTCTCCAAGTTGATCTATAGAATCAACACAACTCCAATCAAAATATGAGCAGGCTTTTTTCTGTAGGAACCAGTAAGCTGATTTCTATTTTTACAGAAATGCAAACGATCTAGAGTAGCCAACACAATCCTGAATGAGAATAATAAAGTTAGAGGACTTAACATTACCAGATTTGAAGACTTACTATATAAACCTACATTAACAGTGTACTGTTGGCATAAGGAGAGACCAATAAACCGAAGAAAAAAATAGGGTCCAGAAACAGATCCAAAACATACGGTCAATTGATTTTCAACAAAGGTATCAATGCAAATTCAACAAAAGCAAAATCTTTTCCATAAATAGTGCTATATATATAACAACTATATATCTCTACATAAGGAATTTACATCTATAAATTTTTAAGAGAAAACACAGAATATTTTCATGACCTTGGGATAGGCAGAGATTATTTTTAGACAGGACACAGAAGCACTAACCCTAACACTTAAAAAGGATAAACTGAACTGCATCAAAATTAAAAACTGCTGAAAATTGAAAATCATTAAAGAGGGACAAAGATAAGCCATAGATTAGGAGAAAATCAATACATACACCCAGCAAAGAATTTGCAATAAGAATTGATAAAGAACTACCACAAATAGATAATAAGAAACACAGTCTAAAAAAAACTGGACAAAATACTAGAACAGGCAAATCACCAAAGAAGATATCCAAGTGGTCAATTAGCACACAAAAGCTGTTCACCATCATTAGTCATCACCATGGAAGCACAAATTAAAGCACAATGAGATAATACTACACACCCACCACAATGGCTAAAGCTGAAAAGACTAAAAACACCAAGTTTTGGAGAGGATGTGGAGCAGCCAGAACTCTGAAACGTTGCTGGAAGAGTGTAACACGGCATAACCACGGGGACAGACTTTTTGGCAATTCTAATAAAATTAAACATGCACGTATCCTATGACCCAGGGATTCTACTCCTTGGGTAGAGAAATTAATACACATGTCCATAAAAAGACTTGTATGAAATTAAAAAAAAAAGACTTGTATGTGTAGGTCTACATATAATAAAATAAAAACTGGAAATAATCCAAATGTCCATCAACAGGAGTATGAATAAGCAAATTATATTATTTTCATACCATGGAACTACTGATCCATGCAACCACGTGGATCAATTTCAAAAATGTTAAGTTGAGCAAAACATGCCAGACATAAAATAGGACGTGCTGGATGATTCTATTTAGATGAAGTTCAAGCACAGGCAAACTAAACTTCAATGATGGAAGCAGAAGAATCATTTCCTCTGGGTAAAGGGACCAGGGAACTTTTGGGAGTGAGGACAAGGCTCTGTATCCTGATCTGGGCGCTGGTCATCAAGGTACAGACTTCACATTTGTGTACCCTAAATTATACCTCAATACAATACTGTTAGTAAGAAAAATGTTCTAATAGGAACACTTTCCCACTGACCCAAAGTCCAGACACAGATATCTGTTGTTTCCTTTTAAGAGTAGGTGATTGGGGGCTTCCCTGGTGGTGCAGTGGTTAAGAATCTGCCTGCCAATGCAGGGGACACAGGTTCGAGCCCTGCTCCGGGAAGATCCCACATGCCGTGGAGCAACTAAGCCCGTGCGCCACAACTACTGAGCCTGCGCTCTAGAGCCCACAAGCCACAACTACTGAGCCCATGTGCCACAACTACTGAGTCCGTGTGCCACAACTACTGAAGCCTGCGCACCTAGAGCCCGTGCTCTACAACAAGAGAAGCCACCACAGTGAGAAGCCCACGCAGCGCAATGAAGAGTAGCCCCCGCTCGCCGCAACTAGAGAAAGCCTGCATGCAGTAACAAAGACCCAACTCAACCAAAAACATAAAATTAAAAAAAAAAGAGTAGGTGATTGTTTTCTAATCCAACCTTTCAAATAAGGAATCTAGTGTAATGTAGGGTGTTCTCTGGCATTTAACTCCCACTTCTTGTAGGGTCGAGTTCTCATCTGCTTGGGTTACTGCAGAAACTGGCTAACTCCCAGGACAGCCGTAGCACCTGCTCATGAACTTGGTGCAATGTCTTTTCTTTCTTGTTAGCTTAGCTATTCATTATTAAGTATGCTAATTATATCATATACAGTATAACCAGGTGTTTGTAGCGGGAGGGTTTCCAAGTTATCCTGGTCATCACACTGCAGAACCAGAAGTCTACAGCATAATATTTAAGTTTAAAAAAACCACTAATATGAGGAAGGTTGTAAAGGTGTGGGGACAGGGGTATATGTACTCTGCACTCAATTTTGCTATGAACCCAAAATTGCTCTAAAAGATAAAGTGTATTAATTAAGAAAAAAATTTACAATATGATCCAGTCATTCAGTTCCTAGGTATATATCCAAGAAAAATGAAAAAATATATATCCACACAAAATTTGCACAGAATGTTCATAGCAGCATTATTCATAATGGCCAAAAAGTGGAAACAGTCCCAATGTCCAATGACTGATGTATGAATAAATAAAACATGGTATATACATGTAATGGAATATTATTTGGCAGTAAGAAGAAATGAAGTACTGATACATGCCACAACATGTATGATCCTTGAAAATATACTAAGTGAAAGACGTCAGTTACAAAAGAACACACATACAATTCCATTTATATGAACTGTCCAGAACAGGCACATTTATAGACAGAAAGTAGATCAGTGTTTGCCCAGGGCTGGAGGAATGGGGGACTTAGGGACTGGGGTGACCCTTAAGGGATTCAAAGTTTCTTTTTGGGATAATGAAAAGGTTCTAGAATTGACTCTAGCGATGGCTGCACATACACTACATGTGTGTGGTAATGTTAGAAGTGGCCTATTAGTGTTCCGGGACTAGAGATTATCTCTTGCTATTATTCTAGTTTTATTTAATATTCAGATAATACTTGAGCGATAGGGGAAGAGCACATTAAAAAAAAATTTGCCTTGTTTTGACAACAGTTTTTATCAAGCAACTCCTAGTAGTAACTTTACAGTAGAAATCCCAGCTTGGGTGAAATTCAATGAACCCTGATCTTTTGGGAGTTAATCTTTTAATGAGTGGTAACTAACACAAACTGTCCAAAGACAAATTCCCAGATGTCTGCCTATTTCTGGCCCATGAACGTAGCTTACACCTGCATCTCCCAGACTCACCTCGGAGTAGGCTCAGTCGGAGACACCGCTCGGTGCATCGTCATGGGCCTTGTGAAATACACCAGGTACCCTGTCAAAGGAGACATCACACGTGCACATCAAGGTCAATAAGCTGGTCATGGGAAATCCTAAGAAAGCACTGGTCCATCTTTTGTCTACCTCAATATACCTGAAGGATAAGACATAGTATCCTAAGCTACAGAGGCTCACCAACGGCAGCCGTACTTAATAAAAACGAAGATAAGAATCTCCAGGATTTAGGAGAGATGGGATATATGTGGTTTGGAAAAAGTCTTCACAGGTACTTCATATTTCCTATGTGTATTTTCAATAGGTTGAGTCAAGACTCAAATTCACACTCATCAGAATGAAACAAGTTAAGTCTGTAAATCTGGTGAACATTCTTAGGGTATGTCCCCAGATGCCAATTCGGCTTCAGATAACACTATGACAGAAATCTTTTGAGTTCTCAGGAAATAAAAACAAAGAAACATTTTCTGATGGAAATTTTTATACAGACATTCTTAGCTTCTCTCTCTCGAAATCTAGAATCAGAGAACCTAAAGAGACCAACCTGCCCCGCAGAATCTGGCCCCCGAGGTCCTGGGAAAGGGAATATTGGCATCCTGGTAGGACCCGTAGGCGGTGGTCACCCGGGCAAATGTCGGTAGGGGTGGCGTAACAGAGTTCGGGAGCGCGAAGGGATTGCTGGAAGCGCTGTCTTCTTGGTTCTGAAATTTTAAAAGCAAGAGACTAAAACCCACAATCTGTCTTCAAGCCAAACTACAAAACAGGACACATTATTCCAAGATCAGGGAGCCCAGGATTTTAGGGAGGAGGAAAGGAAACGAAACCCCAAAGCATAGCTTGGTAACAAGGATCCCACCACAAAAGACTCAAGGCAGGAGACGAGCTGGCGCAGGCAGGGCTCCAAACAGCTCTGGTTGCGTTTCACTTTTTGCAGGGAAGTGTCTTTCAGGATCTAGAAAAGGCACAAAACGCAGTCAAGAAGAGCAACATTCTTTCTCCTGATTCTTTTTTATTGTGTGAAGCATCGGAAGCAGCAACGATGCTGGGGCACCGGAGCATGGCTGTGTCTGAGGCTGCCAACACAACACACCACCTTCCCCCTCCCCGAGGGGCTCAGGGAAAAGATTCATTTGTGAATCCTCTTCCAGATGCCCTTTCCTTTGCCATGGCAGGCAAATGCACTGGCTCTCAGAGAGCACGATTAGAACCACCATTCTTCCTTTATAGTGAATTCTACTCCTTTGCTCTCCCCCGACCCCACCCTCCTCGATGAGATATCTCAGCATCACTTAGAGTAATATCCTCCAGTCTGGACTGAAAACTGTTCCATGTGATACATACATGCCAGGGGGAACAGATTTCACTTTAGTGCAAATTAAAATGTACCTTTTTGTGGGGGGGTCCTTTAAAAATATAAAGCTTAATATACCTGGACAAAACTATAATTCAAAAAGATACATGCACCCCTATGTTCATAGCGCACTATTCACAATAGCCAAAACATGGAAACAACCTAAATGTCCACTGACAAATAAATTGATAAAGAAGATGTGGTACATACATACAATGGAACACTACTCAGCCATAAAAAAAGAACAAAATAATGCCATTTGCAGCAACATGGATGCAACTAGAAATTATCATACTAATTGAAGTAAGTCAGAAAGAGAAAGACAAATATCATATGATATCACTTATATGTGGAATCTAAAATATGGCACAAATGAACCGATCCACAAAACAGAAACAGACTCACAGACATAGAGAACAGACTTGGGGTTGCCAAGGGTGAGGGGGAAGGGAGACAGATGGCCTGGGAACTTAGGGTTGGTAAATGTAAACTATTTCATTTAGAATGGATAAACAACAAGGTCCTACTGTGTAGCACAGGGAACTATATCCAATCTCCTGGGATAAACCATAATGGAAAAGAATAGTAAAAAAAGAATGTATATATGTGTATAACTGAGTCACTTTGCTGTACAGCAGAGATTGGGGCACAATGCTGTAAATCAACTATACTTTAATAACATATATATATTTTATATACATATATATATGCAGCTTAACATTTTAAAGCACATGCTATTGGTATAACCTGACATACACATACTGAAGGTAGGCATGTAAACTGGACCTGGGCTGTCTAACATGGAAGTCATTACCGGACTATAAAGCACATGAAGTGTGGCTAGTCTGGATTGCGATGGCTGTAAGCATAAAATTCACACCAAAAGTTGAAGACTTAGTGCCAAAAAGAAAAAAAAAAGAATGTAAGCTATCGCAATAATTTTTATACTGCTTACATGTTGATATGATAATACTTTGGATATACTGGATTAAATTAAAATATTATTGAAATTAATTTACCTTTTTTTTATTAGTATGGCTACTAGAAAATTGAAAATGACATGCAGTCTGCATCACATTTCTATTGGACAGCACTGAATGAGACCTTTAAAACACTTGCTTATCCTATCATTTTTATACCAATAGAAAAATCTATCTTTTTTGTATGTCCAAACAAGGCAACGAAATGTTCAGACTCCAAGGACAAAACGTCAAGTACCACAAAATCTGAGTTATTAGCATTTCACAGACCCTCACAAAGCTTGAACAATTTCCTGGTTACCTATGATACCCCAAGAAGACAGAACAATCAAGTGTACACAACACAAACTAGGCAAAAAATGAATAGCATTCAGGTCAACTTGGTGCTGTCAGGATATTTCTGCTATTTCACATGTGATGCTGCTCAGACCGAAAAAGACGTATCTCAGCTCATGGGGCTTTTTTATGAGGATTCCACCTGATTAGCTCTGCGTGAACTGACAAATCAAGTTTCTGAACCTGTAAGGGTAAAGACGAGATGCCAGGCTGTACCCCTCCATTCAGACACCGCTGTCCTATCACACCTCACCTGTCCAGCCAGCCAGCCTCACTCTAAGTAACAACATCTCCTTTTATGGAACAGATTTTTTAAATGACCTTACATACTTTTTTTCTGATTAGAAAGTATCTCTTAGTTTCAGAATACATTTTGCCTACAGTTTCCAAATAAATGAGATTGTATTGTATTAACCTGGGATTAACACATAGCTTTAATGAGATCTGTGAGCAGATTATATGCTATTACATAATTGCCTATGATTTATATGCAATATTTCTGAAGTTATATGCAATATCTGTGCAAATTTTTCTGTGGAAGGTTGTGTGTGGTTTTCATTAGACATTAGAAGGGGGCGGTCCATGACCCAAAGAGATTAAGAATCAGCGCTCAATGTTTTCTACACAAAAAGAATACAGCTGTTAACCCTGCTAGGTGGAAGGACACATGATGTCCAAATCTTATCGACTCGCTTTTTCACTCAACTTCACTGCTCGACTCAGACACTGATGCAAATGAGCAGTGCTCTCCACTTCTGACATCAAGGAGAACTTATGAACACAGATGCCCACCTTGAGCAGCTTCGCTTTCATAGTGGATGTGATGGTGGTGGGGTTAATGAACTGGAAGGAAGGGGCCGCGTGGTTCGGGTACTGCGCAGGGAACTTCACCAGCATCTTGACGCGGTGGTTGCTGCAGTGCACAGACACTGTGCAGCTCCTGTCTGCTGCGTCCATCTGCAGGGGACAAATCAATAGCTGCTTTGGAGAGGAACTGCAAAGGGTCTTCAGATGCAAACAGGTTTAAATAAGGTAACTGAATGCTCTAGGTTCCTGGTAACGGAGTGAGAGAGAGTCTCCAAAGATGAATTTGGAAGATGTGGACAACTCATTTTCAAAACGGATTTTTAATTTTAGCACCGATTTAATAAATTCAAAATGTTTTTGCTTAAAAAAGCTTCATCCCAAAGCTGTGAGATAGGCTGAAACTTGTTATATTTATTTTGAGATGGGAAAATAAAGCAGGAAGATGTTAAAAACCTGACTCAAGTTAAAAGTACTCCAGGGACCTAGGAATAAACCTACCTAAGGAGAAAAAAGACCTGTATGCAGAAAACTAAGATACTGATGAAAGAAATTAAAGATGATACAAACAGATGGAGAGATATACCATGTTCTTGGACTGGAAGAATCAACATTGTGAAAATGACTATACTGCCCAGAGCCATCTACAGATTCAAAGCAATCCCTATCAAACTACCAATGGCATTTTTCACAGAACTAGAACAAAAAATTGCACAATTTGTATGGAAACCCAAAAGACCCCGAATAGCCAAAGCAATCTTGAGAAAGAAAAACGGAGCTGGAGGAATCAGGCTCCCTGACTTCAGACTATACTACAAAGCTACAGTAATCAAGACAGTATGGTACTGGCACAAAAACAGAAATATAGATCAATGGAACAGGATAGAAAGCCCAGAGATAAACCCACACACATATGGTTACCTTATCTTTGATAAAGGAGGCAAGAATATACAGTGGAGAAAAGACAGCCTCTTCAATAAATGGTGCTGGGAAAACTGGACAGCTACATGTAAAAGAATGAAATTAGAACACTCCCTAACACCATACTCAAAAATAAACTCAAAATGGATTAAAGATCTAAATATAAGGCCAGACACTATAAAACTCTTAGAGGAAAACATAGGCAGAACACTCTAGGACATAAATCACAGCAAGATCCTTTTTGACCCACCTCCTAGAGAAATGGAAATAAAAACAAAAATAAACAAATGGGACCTAATGAAACTTAAAAGCTTTTGCACAGCAAAGGAAACCAATAACAGGACTAAAAGACAAACCTCAGAATGGGAGAAAATACTTGCAAATGAAGCAACTGACAAAGGATTAATCTCTGAAATATACACGCAACTCATGCAGCTCAATATCAAAAAGCGAACAACCCAATCCAAAAATGGGCAGAAGACCTAAATAGACATTTCTCCAAAGAAGATATACAGACTGTCAAGAAACATGTGAAAGGATGCTCAACATCACTAATCATTAGAGAAATGCAAATCAAAACTATAATGAGGTAACACCTCACACCGGTCAGAACGGCCATCATCAAAAAATCTACAAACAATAAATGCTGGCGAGGGTGTGGAGAAAAGGGAACCCTCTTGCACTGTTGGTGGGAATGTTAAATTGATACAGCCACTATGGAGAACAGTATGGAGGTTCCTTAAAAAACTAAAAATAGAACTACCATATGACCCAGCAATCTCACTACTGGGCATGTACCTTAAGAAAACCATAATTCAAAAAGTGACATGTACCACAATGTTCACTGCAGCACTATTTACAGTAGCCAGGACATGGAAGCAACCTAAGTGTCCATCAACAGATGAATGGATAAAGAAGATGTGGCACATATATACAATGGAATATTACTGAGCCATAAAAAGAAACGAAACTGAGTTATTTGTAGTGAGGTGGATGGACCTAGAGTCTGTCATACAGAGTGAAGTAAGTCAGAAAGAGAAATGTATGCTAACATGTGTTAGCTACTGTATGCTAACACATATATATAGAATTTTTTTAAAAAATGGTTATGAATAACCTAGGGGCAGGACAGGAATAAAGACACAGACGTAGAGAATGGACTTGAGGACACGGGGAGGGGGAAGGGTAAGCTCGGACTAAGTGAGAGAGTGGCAATGAAATATATACACTACCAAATGTAAAATAGCTAGCTAGTGGGAAGCAGCCACATGGCACAGGGAGATCAGCTCAGTGCTTTGTGACCACCTAGAGGGGTGGGATGGGGGGGTGGGAGGGAGACACAAGAGGGAGGGGATATGGGGATATATGTATACGTATAGCTGATTCACTTTGTTATACAGCAGCAACTAACACAACAATGTAAAGCAGTTATACTCCAATAAAGATGTCAAAACAAAAAAAAAGTACTCCTGGGAAAATCCTTCTCTCTAAAGGAGACGGGGGCTGCTAGGGGCTGGCGAGAGAGGAAACGGGAAGAGGCTGCTAGGGGATGTAAGGCTTCTTTGGGGATGATGAAAATGCTCTGGAAGTAGCACTGGTGATGGCTGCATGGCTTTGTGAATGTACTAAGAACCACTAAATTGTGCACTTTATATTTTTTTTAAGATTTTTTTTTTGATGTGGACCATTTTTAAAGTCTTTATTGAATTTGTTACAATATTGCTTCTGGTTTATGTTTTGGTGTTTTGGCCTCAAGGCATGTGGGATCTTAGCTCCCCAACCAAGGATCGAACCCATACCCCCTGCATTGGAAGGCGAAGTCTCAACCACTGGACCACCAGGGAAGTCCCTGTAAACTTTAAAAGGGTGAATTTTGTGGTATGTGAATTATAGCTCAGTAATTTTTATTTTATTTTTTTTTTATTTGGCCATGCCACGCAGCATATGGGATCTTACTTCTCCAACCAGGGATCAAACCCACGCCCCCTGCAGTGGAAGTGCAGAGTCTTAACCACTGGATCACCAGGGAAGTCCCTCTCAGTAATTTTTGAAAAGCAGTCCTGGGAAAGGAATCAAGATCTCCTTCTTAGACTAGATCACTGGATATCCAAACTGTTCTCAACTGGGACAAAGGGAATATAAACTGAGTTGATATAGATAACCAATTCATCAAGGAATCCTTTATCTCTTTTGATTTCTTGTGCTGCCAACTAGAGATGGCAGCTGGAGGATGGCAAAAAGAGCCACACATATGGGAAATCTGGAGACTCGGATTCAAACAGCTGTTGACCTCGGACAAGTTATTTCATTTTGTAGTGTCTCTGTTTCCTGATCTGTAGAGTGGGGATAAAACCACTTATTGCAGAGCTGTTTGAAAGGCCAAATGATACAATTATGTAAGTGCACAGATCCAGGCCTACTGTTAACTGAATCTGGGCAAGAGAAAAATTAATCAAGTTTTAAAACTCCTTCACAGAAAGACTCAATTCCCTGAAGCACAGAATTTCAATACCTGCCCAAAAGGAAAAGAGTAAATCTCTCTGTGTGTTAAATGAACAAAGAGGCTTGGTCACCTTCTTAACATGCATCTAAATCTCTGAGGAAATGACCAGCTTACAAGGCAAGATCGTACAGCAAAGTACTAAGAGCCCTGGAGAGTCAGGAGGCTGGCTTCCAAACTCAGCCCTGCCATTAACTTTGCCAGTAACCCCCACCAAAACACTAAACTTTCCAGGAGCTGAGCATCCTCACATAGAGTAAAATGAGGTGTTAGAGCATCTAAGGAGATTTTAAGACATTTGAGCATCAGTTTATCCCTTGGTTCATCTTATGAGAAAATAACAGGGTAAGGGAAAATAATCTGCGTTTGTAAAATATCTATGTCCTTAGATAACATAGAAAACAAAAAAGCAAGCACAGAACACTTCCCTGTTAGAGCAGCAAAGCTATATTGCTAGCCTAAATCATGGCTGAAATAGTCCCCTCACCCACCAACCGCCAACCGCAAGCGAGAGACAGTTCGCTAAGCCCGAGCACCTCCACGTTCACATTGCGGATCTGCACGTTGATCAGGGAGAACTCCTGCTGCAGAGTCTGAGGCAGGCCCAGCTGCTCTGATTTCTTCTCTTCCAGGAGACTGCTTGGGGGGTCTTCCTTTAAGACTAGCAGGAGAGAGAGGGTAACTTGTTGGAAAAGATTTCTGAAATGGATTCAGAGAGCAGTTCTGGGGTATTTGCCACAACTCGGAGATGCACAGAGGGGCACCGCACCTAAAACAGCGTGACCAATTACCTTCTTCCTCCCCGTGGCTGGAGTTGTGCTGGTGATCTGTATCCTGAGTGTGAAGGGTCTTCTCTGGTTCCGGCAGAAGAGCAATGCTCTCAATGAACTCATCAACACCATCTAAGATGTCATTTGCACAAAGCTGCAACAGAGGGGAGGAGATCGATCTAGGTCTAGAGAAGTCAGTGGAAAGGACTGTCGTGTTTGATTGAGTTCTGACTTAAAAATGGGAATCACAAAGGAGAGAGATGTCAGCCCCAAACAGATACAATCAAAATGAGTTTTGCCCATCACCAATTCTCTCTGGTTAAATACACAGGGTAACAGACTCTATTAGTCTACCCTGGAAAATGTTTTATCCTGTTCATAGGTTACGCAAATCTCAGAAAACCTTTTAAACTCCAGCCTTGATGGAGTTATTCAGCCAACACAAGAGCAAAAATATCATAACCTCAAAGCATTTGGAGCAAATGGTACTTTTTGGAGAAAACAGATTTAAAAGGCAATAAGGTGATGGTATTTGACCAAAATTACTCATGAATGACTTGGTACTAAGCAGTGTAGCAAATCTGACCCAGCATTTTCTATTCACTCTGTACAGAGTGCTGTATGGGATGCAATACAAGTGAGACAGCGATCCCACCTTCAAGGAATTTAGCCACCAGATGAGAAGACAGAACCCCGTGATGGGGCAGAGCAAAGCAAGGGCCACGAAAGCAGTTCACACAGGGACCACTGTGCTTCATATAAGAACAGATACAATTTATGGGGCAAAAACTGGAAAGGGCTTCACTTAACAGGTGGTGTTGATGAACGTGGAGAACTCTGAACACTGCCTAGTGCCAGGGCAGATTTTCTAGCCCATTTATAAGAGAAAGAAATGAAGCCCCCAAGCCACTTGCTCAGTATGCTAACCCACACTACCTTAGATCAGGACAAGAGGAAACAAAGACATTCAGAGGCTGTGAAGCCTTCAAGTGCTGAATACTGAAGTGGGCTCTTGAATACCTCAAAGCCTCAGTGTAGCATACACAAGCCACTCGGCCAACCAGCAAGTACGTATTAAATGTCCATTACGTATCCTCTAACTTCTTCAACTACCAAATCTTCTATCTTAAGTTTCTGGTGTATCCAGTTAACATTCCTCCACAGCATCATTGAATACATACCCTCTGCATCTGGGAATCCACCCGCCACATTCTCAGGGTCTGATCCCGTGACCACGTAACCAGTTGGTAGTCCTTGGACCCTAGAAATCACCAGATAAGAATCATGGAGGTTTTTCTGGATTCAACATCAAGTTTCTTACAGGCTGTGATGGGGTGAGATTCATTCATCCATTCATCCATTTAACAAATATTTATGGAACATCTCCTATATGCCAGGTACTGTTCTAGGCACTAGGGCTATAAAGTGAATACAAGAATCTCTGTCTTGGGCTTCCCTGGTGGCACAGTGGTTGAGAGTCCGCCTGCCGATGCAGGGGACACGGGTTCATGCCCCAGTCCAGGAAGATCCCACATGCCGCTGAGGGGCTGGGCCCATGAGCCATGGCCGCTGAGCCTGCGCGTCCAGAGCCCGTGCTCTGCAACGGGAGAGGCCACAACAGTGAGAGGCCCGCGTACCGCAAAAAAAAAAAAAAAAGAATCTCTGTCTTTACAGATCTCACATTCCAATGGTGGAAACATACAATAACATGTCCGGTAGTGACAATGTTATGAAAAAAATAACATGGGATAAGAGGATAGAGACCAACAGGGGAACTATTTTTAGATAGGACTTTCCTGAGGAAGTCACCTTTGAGCAGAACCTTATTTTTATTTATTTAATTTATTTTTTTTGCGGTACACAGGCCTCTCACTGTTGTGGCCTCTCCCGTTGCGGAGCACAGGCTCTGGACGCGCAGGCTCAGCGGCCATGGCTCACGGGCCCAGCCCCTCCGCGGCATGTGGGATCTTCCCAGGCCGGGGCACAAACCTGTGTCCCCTGCATCGGCAGGCGGACTCTCAACCACTGCGCCACCAGGGAAGCCCTTATTTCTTTTTTAATAAATTTATTGGCTGCGCTGGGTCTTTGTGGCTACACACGGTCTTCTAATTGTGGTGGCTTCTCTTGTTTTGGAGCACGAACTCTAGGCATGCGGGCTTCAGTAGTTGTGGCACACGGGCTCAGTAGTTGTGGCTCACAGGCTGTAGAGCGCAGGCTCAGTAGTTGTGGTGCACGGGCTTAGCTGCTCCACAGCATGTGGAATCTTCCCGGACCAGGACTTGAACCCATGTCCCATGCACTGGCAGGCAGATTCTTAACCACTGCGCCACCAGGGAAGTCCTGAGCAGAAACTTAAATGAAGTGAAATAATAGCTCACAAATTAGCAAGTGAAGAGTGATGCTGGGATTTAACGTCTCACTGAACTTTCACCTCCACAAATGTTCTTCCTTTTACGTGCTCCAGAGGAGCTGGGGATGAATAGGTTGCTTGTAAAATGAATTGTTTTAAATGCATCGTGACATCTTACTGTTTAAAATAATTTTTTGGTAAGGAAATGCATCTCTTTATAAAAGGAATAATCAATCTTTAATGTTCTTAACTGACTGAATTGTATTTTCACACGATAGATCTGGTCAAAGGGAAATTATCCTATCAATAAAAAGGTCCAAGGTGCTTTCTGAAAGATCTTTATGAAAGATCAGAACATTTCAGGGTAATTCTGCGGTATCTAGAATCTTCTTTATGGCCATCTTTAGAGAGCAAAGAATCTAGAAATAATTTCATCCATTCCCTCATATTATGGATGGGGAAACTGAGGCAACAAAGAACAGAGTGAGTGAGGGCCAAAGTTCCTTCTCTGTGTCACTGCCTTCAACCAGGCCTTCATTCCTCCATGTGTTAATACATCCCTGTGTACAACTATCATGACAGCAACTATTCTGAGCTACTACCTGTCATGAGAACCACCATCTAGCCCATGTTCATAACAACGATTTTCTTTTCTTTTTTCTTTTTTGCCATCGCTGCATGGCTTGCAGGATCTTAAGTTTCCCAACCAGGGATTGAACCCGGGCCCTTGGCAGTGAAAGCACAGAGTCCTAACCACTGGACCACCAAGGAAGTCCCAGCAACAATTTTCTGACTCCACATCCAGCCTCTTTTCATGTCCCTGACTTTGAAGAAAAGTTATGCCTAATTCCTTTCTAAACCCAAATCCTCTACTTGGGTCTTCGGCCCTATTCCCTATTTTCAAAGGGCCTTTGCTTTCACACCTACTCCCTTTCTTGCCTCTTCTCCTTGCCTTCAAACAGAGAGGGCAGCAGCCTCCTCCAAGGAATTTAGTCCACTCCTTGCCTCTGAAGGCAAACTCATTCACAACACCAGTTCGTGCTGCCTCTGTTTCCACTGTCTTACAATCAGGCTTCCCTCCTCAATCAGCTTTTGGAACTGGTCTCTTAATGATCATATGGCTTCCTATTTATACAATTAAGTGCTTCTCTCTTACTTTGCATGGAGATCCTTCAGCAAAACCCAAAACCAGTGACCTCTGATTCCTTCACGAAGCATCCTTTTCCTTGGACCACAACATTCTGATTCTCTTCCTACCTCTGAGAGCTCCTTCACCACAGTGAAAAACCAACATCAAAGCCTGAGGTGGTCCAGTAAAAACTGACTAAGAAGACATGGCAGTAAAAAGAAAATGGAACACCATTAGGTTGAGAAAGAAGTAAAATATAAGAATACATGCAGGATGGGGACTTCCCTGGTGGTCCAGTGGGTGAGACTCTGGGCTCCCAATGCAGGGGGCCCAGGTTCGATCCCTAGTCGGGGAACTAGATCCCGCGTGCATGCTGCAACTAAGAGTCCGCATGCTGCAACTAAATAATGTTTTTTTAAAAAAGGAATACATGCAGGATGACTACATTTATAAAAGGTTCAAAAACAAACAAACCTAAAATATTTTTAGGGATGCAGAAATGGGTGGTAAACTGTAAAAATAAAAACAGAAATCACTATCGTAAATGTTAGGATAGTGTTTACCTCTAGGAAAGGGAAAGGATTGTGATCGGGAAGCTTCCAGGTTCTAGCAATGCTTTCTTTCTTGACCTTGGTGGTAGTCACACAGATTTTCACATTATAAACTCTACGTGTTTTATGCAATTTTGTAGATGATATATCTCACAATAAAAAGGAATTTTAGAAAACACCTATAACTTGTACTCAAAATTTCACTACTGGCTAGACAGCCCCAATTTATACAATTCACCCTGCCAGCTTACAGATGACACAGACAACTGAAAATGGGTTGCTAAAAACTTTTTATTTCAGTCCAAAACTACAGGCCAACCTGTCGCTGCCAGACCATGGGGAAACTCTATCATCTCTTTTCAATGGCAAAATGCAGGACAAAGAGTTGAAAGATGAAGTCAAGCATGGAAATTGATGGGATAGAGACCAAGCAGCCTCGTGTTTCTAGAAGCAAGTCAGATTATGGAAATGAAAATGGGAAAATTAAGAGCCTGATCAAAAGATTCCTTTCAAAAACAATCCTAGGGACTTCCCTGGTGGTCCAGTGGTTAAGAATTCACCTTTCAATGCAGGGGACGTGGGTTCAATCCCTGGTCGGGGAACTAAGATCCCAAATGCCGCGGGGCAACTAAACCCGTGCGCTCTAGAGTCCCTGAGCCACAACTAGAGAGAAGCCCGTGTGCTGCAACGAAGACCCCACGTGCCACAGTGGAAGATCCTGCATGCCACAACAAACATCCTGCGTGCTGCAACTAAGACCCAATGCAGCCAAATAAATGAATAAATATTTTTAAATAAATAAATAAATAAAAATTTAAAAAACAAAAAAAACTATCCTAGAAGAGGCTTGTGAAGGTCACAAACGAGCTGGGATAAGATGACTGCTCTAATCCCAGGTCCACCAGAGACCTCTCCTGGACTCTGGACAAGTCACACCACTCCACTGCCCGGTTTTCCTTTTATGATATGAAAAGACCATGAAATATACTTCTGGTCTGGAAAACATTTAGAGAGTGTGGCAATAAGATCTCAAGACAAGGGAGGTTGAAATTAAGTTTGCATGGTGAGTTGGTGGAGAAAGTGAGGCTGAGGGCTTCCTAACCCCCCTTATACTTATGATGCATGAATGAGGGCTAGCTAGATTAAGCTGCAATAACAAACAGCCCCAAATCTCAGTGGCTTAATGCAAGGCTCTCCTGCTCTCTCTACATCTTCACCTCACCCCCACCCTGGTGGGAGCAGCGCCACATGGAGTTTCTCCAGGTACCTCGGAAGAAGCAGAGAGGGTAAATAATTGCACACTGGCTGTTACCACTTCAACCCAAAAGAGACTGCATCACTTTCGTTCATGTTTCAAGATCCAAGCAGGTCACGTGGCCAAACCTATCTTCAAGGGGTTGGGAGGTGAAATACCACCGTGTGCTTGTGAAGAGAACTGGGAATACGTGGTAGGTGGTACTGACGATGACCTTGCATCTCCCTCATCAATAGAGGGGGAAGGGAGAATTCCTTGGCAATCCAGTGGTTAGGACTCCACGCTCTCACTGCCAAGGGCCCGGGTTTGATCCCTGATGGGGGAACTAAAATACCACAAGCCGCACGTTGCAGCCAAAACAAAACAAAACAAACAAACAAATAAACAAAAACGGGGGGGAAGGAGCAAGTGCCAGGGATTTCTGAGTGTGCGATGACCCCTGAGTTTTTCAGCTCTAGAAATGATCCAACAGCAAGGCTACCAACCTCTCCAGATCCCTTCCACATAGGAGAGACACTACACAGAACCCAAGAGGATGGACTTGGGGGGAAGAAGCACAGCCACACACCCTATCACCCACCTACGATTAAAGGGGGAGGTTCCCTGACTCCCGCTCCTGAGCCAGCCCTGTCCCTGCATCCTCCCCTCCGATCACGGGGCCCACCCCGACGGGAGCTGTTGGTGAGCAGGGCTCAGGAGGAAATCAGTTGGCGGTCTCCCTCCCACCCACCTTCCTTCTGTTTCCTCCACTGGAATTCCAGCACCACATCATCATGGCCTACGAAGGTATGGACCGGCGTGTTCAAGTCAAAGACATTCCACAAGAGCAGGCTGTTCTCCCTCCGCAGCTGGGGAACCATCACGGTCACCAATCCATTGCTGAAAGGCTGTGGCAGAAGAGGGAAAAGCAGGCATTGTTCCAGGGAGAATCCGCTGAGTCTTGAGTTACCCACGTTGGAATTCTCGCCTAATTAAAATAAACTGGATGACGGGAGGCCCCAACCCACCTGGGGAACATTTTTCCAAATACCATCAGTTGACCATCAACATCTACTTTTAATTTGCTTTCCTTTTTTTTTTTCTTTGCTGATGGAAGGGACCACAGCAAGTAAAAAATAAAGCTAAGCCAAATACTTGGAGAAGAACGTTTTTTAATGTAAAATAAGCAAATGGCTCTAGGGGTTGCACACGGGAACACCCCGGCTCCTCTCCACGAGTTCCCTCTGAGAGTTATCGAGTACATTCCCAGAATGAGCGTGCAAAGCACACTGAGGGTAACCCCAGACAGCAAACAAACCCCGCCATGCAGAAATGCACCAGAAGCATACCACCCACGTGAAGCAGCGCCCTCCCACGGCCCGCAAGACCACAGCTTTGCAGAGGAAAATCTTCCAATTTCAGGACCGACACTTTCCACTCATAAACACCCGATCTGCGAGGTAGCTAAGGGGCTCATTTGGTTGTCAGGCAGACTCTGTTCTTTAAGGAATTAAGCCAAGGCCACCTAAGAGCACATTGTCTCCTCCCCTCTTGGCAGCACTCCTGAGCTTTCCTGTTTGTTTTTTAAAGCAAACATATTAATCCAGAGAAGTATTTCAATTCACAAGAGCAAAGCCTGACTTCCTCCCAAGTGCTCCCAGATGCGAAGGCCAAGTAATACCCCAATTCTCTTCTTCACGTCATGACGCAGCAGGTGGCAGCCTAATGCATAAAGATCCCTCCATTCATCCCTGTGCTCCCTTTCAAGTTGACACTGAAGGAAATATATTAGCTCTGATCAATTATCCATCTGGCAACAAAGTTGGAAGCTCGGTAACAGCCTATCCACTATACTTGTAGCATTTTGTGGTTTATACAGCATTTTCATACATGTTTTTTTTCCAAAGGGAAAACATATTGTACAGGTACTAAATGCCACCGAACTGGACACTTAAAAATAAGGAATTTTATCACAATTTTTAAAAAGAGCAAGGGATATTAAACACTATTATTCATGTTTGACACAGGAGGAAACTATTACTCAAAAAACACAGGTGGCTTGCCCAAGGCCACACAAGTATTAAATGGCTCATTACAGCATTATTCACAATAGCCAAGATATAGAAACAACCTACATGTCCGTTAATGGATGAATGAATAAAGAAGATGTGGTACATATACAATGGAATATTATTCAGCGACAAGAAACAAGGAAACCCTGCCATTTGTCACAATATGGATGGACCTTGAGGGCGTTATGGTAAGTGAAATAAGTCAGACAAAGATAAATACTGTACGATATCATTATACGTGGAATCTAAAAAGCTGAACTCATAGAAACAGAGTAGAACGGTGGTTACCAGGGGTTGGGGGTGGGAGAAACAGGGAGATGCTGGTCAAAGGGTACAAACTTCTGGTTATAAGATGAATAAGCTCTGGAGATCTAATGTACAGCGTGTGATTATGGTTAATAGCACCATATGATATACTTGAGAGTTAAGAGAGTAGATCTTAAATGTTCTCATTGCAGAAAAGAGATGGTAATTATGTGACGATGGTACAAATGCTACAGTGGTAACTGTTTGGCAATATGTAAGTGTAACATATCAACATGCTGTATACCTTGAACTTATGCCATGTTATATGTCAATTATATCTCAGTAAAGCTGGAGAAAAAAATTAAATGTCATTGCCAAGCCCTAAACCAAGGTCTTCTGAATCTAAAGCCAGAGTTCCTTCCACCACGATCCACTGACCTCCAGCCTCTCAACCCTCCAGCTTACCCTCTTCCCCTCCCTTACTGACCACCTTCACACTGCCCAGCTCTCCAGCCCAGCTAGTCTAGCACTTCTAGTAGAGAGTCTCACCCAACGACCCAAGGGCAAATTTTTAAATAGGTAACAGCTTTTATGCCGTCATTACCACCTTTGTCCCACTTCTAAACCAAGACAGAAGGAGAAAACTGTCTCACAAAAAAATAAGAGGAAATGTCCCTGGCCCCTTCTGTCCAAAACACCTAGATAATGTTTCCGAGCAAGAGGTAGGGCATCTCACTCACAGTGTATCGGGCCTTCCAGACAGGCACCTGGCAAGGGAGAATATTGAGGTATTTCCGAGGCTGGCGGTAATCCCAGAACTGGAAGAAAGAAAGCAGTACAATTTGTGAAATAAATGCCATTAAAAAAAAACCAAAAAAACTCAACTATCAAAATAAGCATAGCCGGGACTTCCCTGGTGGTCCAGTGGTTAAGAATCCTCCTTCCAATGCAGGGGATGCAGGTTCAATCCCTGGTTGGAGAACTAAGATCCCACATGCCGCGGGGCAACTAAGCCTGTGTGCCACAACTAGAGAGCCCGCACACCACAACTACTGAGCCCAAGTGCCACAACTAGACAGAAGCCCGTGCACCGCAATGAAAGATCCCCCATGACTCAACAAAGATCCCGCGTGCCACAACTAAGACCCAATGCAGCCAAATAAATAAATAAATATTTTTTAAAAAAAAACAGTAAAGAAATAAGCCTAGCCTTCAAATTCCATGCTTTCTGTCCTCTAACTGCATTTGAGTCAGCCCCCATGGCCATGCTCCTGTGACAGAGACACACAGGAAATGCCCCTTTCACACTTAGAAGCATTATAGGAGAAACAAAGACTTCTGTGAACACATGAGGATCGCTCCTTGAGGCAGATCACTGCCAGCCTGCCTATTAAACTACCTTCATAGTTGAAAGGTAGGAGTGACAACTTTTCATCCTGTATCACTTCACACCACATAGAGTAATTTAACTACTAAATTAACTACCGCTATCGCTAGTAGTTAAAAATGTACTGACTGCTGACTGCATTTCAGACAGATGCTTAGAGCTTTAAGAGTTTCATCCCATCTAATCCTTACAACAATCATACAGTGGGTGTTATGAATCTCTTTTTCAAGGGTGGAAGCTAAATTACTAAACGATGTAACTTGTCAAGGCCACACAGCAAAAAGGTGACCGTGCGACTATTTGGGGCCCAACCACTCACGTCCACTCTTCCACCCACTCCAACACGGAAGGTGCAGGGAACACACAGGTGAGCCAGACAAAAACTGAGCCTTAGAGACGTTTATGCTTTTAACAGAAAAACAAACACACTTAGAGCTCAAGCATTTGCCATGAAAGCAGGAAATGGCAGAGCACCAAAGGCAGGAGGGCCAAGACTGAAACTCTGAACTATCAGGTATTAAGGAACTATTGTCAAAAACAGGTGACAGGGGCTTCCCTGGTGGCGCAGTGGTTGAGAGTCCGCCTGCCGATGCAGGGGATGCGGGTTCGTGCCCCGGTCCGGGAAGATCCCACATGCCGCGGAGCAGCTGGGCTCGTGAGCCATGGCCGCTGAGCCTGCGCATCCGGAGCCTGTGCTCCACAACGGGAGAGGCCACAACAGTGAGAGGCCCGTGTACCGGAAAAAAAAAAAAAGCTCTTATTCTCAAGGCCATCATTGATGGGGTCTTATGAAATGATTACATTATAGTTGAATGGAGGACTTCAGTCTATTTCAATGTGATAAAGTTGGTTATTATAATAAGTTAACCAGAGCCATGCTGCCTCTTATCCATAGGTAACTTCTGCTTTCCTCTTACCATTGCCAAAGGCCTCTGCTCCAAGCTAGGGATCAAAAAGAAATTTTTCTGAAGAAATGTCGGAAGACCCTCGGTCAAGAACCAGGTTCCTGACTGCTGACATCACAGGAAACAGCCGCTGGGTACGGGTTTCTCAATATGGCTTCCCTTATACCACGAACATGTCAGAATGCACAAGGGGACTGGGTCTGGATTTCCAGGACTCAGCCTGGAAGATGGCAATTTTGTAAAATAGCCTGCTTACCCCAAGATAAGGAAAAAAACAATTGTTTATCCAAACTGACATGAACGAATTTCATTACAGTTCATGTTCTATTTTTAATGGCCATAGAAGAAAAATCCTTTTCTTTCTTCTTGATCTAGCTCTAACCCTCAATACAACAGTTTTACAGTTTACAACCTACAAAGTGAAGTGAAACTCATTCAACGGTATCTTGTTCCAGCAGACCCCTTAGAATTCACAAAAGACAAATAGAATGAAAATTATTGTTATAAATTATAAGCTAATAAATTGTCAGATAAACTAAAGAAAATGATTATGTAGGAAAAAATGGCATGCATTGAGCCTTATCAACCAATTACTAAAAACAATGGCTGACTATTATAAGTGCCTCTAAATTGCTTCACTTTTTACAATTATGTTATTTGTATATGTTCAGTAAAAACTGTCTTCCTACCAGGGTATAGTGGAATAAATCAAATACCATGCCCAAAATCTCATTTAATTCATAAGCTAAGCCCACTAGTAAGGAATAAGGACTGTGTTTCACATGTGGAAACTGGTCTGTTTCTACTTTATTACCTATGGAATCCGAGCCTCAAGGGTAGTAAAGTTGTCAGTGAACATAGACAAACTTGGGGACCTCAAAGAAAGAGAAGGAGGTGAATCAGATGATTACTGGTTCCTGAAGTTGGGAAACAAGCTGATGGGGAATGGGGACAACACTTAAATCCAAAACAAACAAACAAACAAACAGAAAAACCACTGTTGGCACATAAGAATAAACTACAACCCCAGGGGATTTACAAACCTCCAGAGAGAAGTTAGAATTAAGCCTGAGTGTACGATTCTAGCTTTGCTAACCATACCAAAAAGACGTACATGCCTGTGTAAATAAAACAAAGCATTAAATTGCTGAAGCTGAATCCTAAAGTTGCTAAGCAAATTTCTGCAATCAAATCTCTGTCCTTCCAGGCAGAGACCTGATCATATGCAGGAACTGTGGGGCACGGCTAACTCTGTGCCCTGCATCCTTTTGAACAAGGGTGCATATCACATCCCACAGTCAGAGAGGATAAACAAACAAGAAACACTGAGAGAAACCAAAAATAATAGGGTCACCGACATACATAAATCCTTGAGCATCTCCTGTAACTTAGAGAATCTCTAATAAAACAACTCCATCTCTACTTGTGAAATGCTGATGATCGAAGACGTCCTAACTTGTGCAGATGTGATAATCACCTGAGAAAATTGCTTTTTCCACCCCAGACTAATGGTAAACTTGATAACTTTAATGACCATGTGGGTTTTTCTCCTTTATTTGTTTATCTGTTGTGTTTTTATTTTGATGAGCCAGTCCTGAAATGGGACTTCCTGACAACTGCTTGGCAAGTAAACTTCTTTTCCTTTCTAAATGTTTTTGTCTCAGACTTCCTTTCACAAAGGGAAAGAAGAAAAGCCTCTGAACAAATGCCAGGAGCCATATCAGATACGTGCTACTACATCACTCCCGCTGGACCACATAACCAGGTGTACTTGCCCAGCTCCCCAAAAAGCACATGCACCCCTGAAACACGTGCCATGCTAACCTACTGCAAATTTCCTTCTGAAGAAAGTGCTGACACACCCCTGATGCCTCCCAAACACGCTCCCCCAACTGCCCTGGGGATGCTGCTCACCTTGACAGAGTTGTCTTGACTGGAGGTAGCAAGAATGTGCTCGCTGTCTGGGTGCCAGTCCAGGCCGTGGATTTTGGAGAGGTGGGCTGCGAGATACTCCACTGCTGTGCTGGGCTTCTGCAACAGGATCAGCAACGAGAGTTGTCACTTCAGAAGGAACTCATAGTGTCCACCATATAACAGTCTGCTGGGTGCCAAGTGGGAATACAAAAATACTCCCAGAGGAATTCCCTGGCGGTCCAGTGGTTAGGGCTCCGCGCTCCCACTGGAGGGGGGCGCAGGTTTGATCCCTGGTCGGGACACTAAGATCCTGCATGCTGCACAGCGCAGCCAAAACAACAACAAAGAACTCCCAGAGACCATCTCTACTCTTAAGAAACTCCGCTTTGTTGTTTTTTTTTTTTGCGGTACACGGGCCTCTCACTGTTGTGGCCTCTCCCGTTGCGGAGCACAGGCTCCGGACGCGCAGGCTCAGCGGCCATGGCTCATGGGCCCAGCCGCTCCGCAGCATGTGGGATCTTCCCAGACCGGGGCACGAACCCGTGTCCCCTGAATCGGCAGGCGGACTCTCAACCACTGTGCCGCCAGGGAAGCCCTCCATTTGTTTTGTTGAAAACAAACGACAGAAGACTTCTCCAGCTCTCCTTCACACATTCTCTGAATACGGGCCTGTGAGCCTAATCTACTTCCGCTCTGGCTCCAGGTACGGCCTTAATGAAGGACACAAGGTAGTGGATGCTTTTCTCCTTTGGTACCGTGGTCTGCAATTCCTGCTCCCCTTCCTCACAATCACCCACAAAGAGGGGCTGTGACATCTAAACAGACCCAACCCCAATCCTGGGGGTAAAACCACTAATCTTTTTTTTTTCTAATTGAAGTATAGTTGATGTACAATATTATATGTTACAGGTGTACAATATAGTGATTCACAATTTTTAAAGGTTATGCTCCATTTATAGTTATTATAAAATATTGGCTTTATTTCCCGTGTTGTACAACGTAACACAACATTGTTGCTTGTTTTGTACATAATAGTTTGTCCCGCATAATCCCCTACCCCTGTAGTGCCCCTCCCCCCTTCCCTCTCCCACTGGTAACCACTAGTTTGTTCTCTATATCGGAAAACCACCAAGCTTAAAATGATCGAGCCCTAAGACCTCAAAAAGAGAATGAACACACATCACAAAAGAAAACAATACATGATTAATAAGCATATATAAAACAAATTCAGAAGGAAACCTTAGAAATATATTCATACATTAAAACATTAAAAGATTGTTTTTAGCTATCAAGTTAGAAGATATTTGTAAATAATATTCAATGCAGTGAGGCTGCATTTGTCACTGCAGGTATACATATAAAATAGTATAACCTGTTCGGGAAAAAAACTGGACAATTTTTATCAACAGACTTAAAATTCTTCCTTTCTTAAGGGAATATCCTAAATTCACAAAAAGCTTTAGGTACCGAAGACGTTCATCTTGGTGTTATTTGGAACACCTAGAAACCAGAAACAACATGAATAATAAGTGGGGAATAATTAAATGTTAGAACCAATTATTGTACAGCTATCTGATACAATATGATGTAGCCATTAAAAGTTATACTTAGAAAGAGCTTATAACACAGGGGAAATGCATTTGTTGTAATGCTAAATGAAAAAAGTATGCATAACTATGCATATGATACGATAAACCATGTTTTAAAAAAAAGCATAAGAAAAGAAAACACCAAAATATTAGCATTTGTCTCTGGGGCAGGACTATGAATGATTTTTATTTTCTCTTTTATATTTTCAACAAAGAGCATGTATTACTTTCTGTAATCAGCACTGGTCTATTAGGTTAACAGTGCAATCTCCAGAACCAGCCTCCCTGAATTTAAATCCTGGCAACAAACTGTGCCTCAGTTTACTCAGCTGTAGAATGGGGTAATAATATTACCTACTTTAAAGGTTAGTTATAAAGAGAAATGAATCAATACACAAAAAGTTCTTAGAACAATGCCTGTGCATTATAAACACTTAGAAATATTAGTATTGGGCTTCCCTGGTGGCGCAGTGGTTGAGAGTCCGCCTGCCGATGCAGGGGACACAGGTTCGTGCCCCGGTCTGGGAAGATCCCATATGCCGCGGAGCAGCTGGGTCCGTGAGCCATGGCCACTGAGCCTGCACGTCCGGAGCCTGTGCTCCGCAACAGGAGATGCCACAACAGTGAGAGGCCCGCGTACCGCAAAAAAAAAAAAAAAAAGAAATATTAGTATTACTAGTCATTCACGAATTTGAGTGAAAATCCAACATCACCACTGATACTACACTTTTTTAAGCCTGTGATGCTTGCTGCCAATAGTCCTGCTTTGATACTAGAAAGTGCCAGAGAAGTGAAATGACAACCAACAAGCTTTACAATCCATATGAACAGAAGTCCTAGGTATTGATAGCCAAGAAAAAGTTAAAGCTCTTTAAACAAAATAGATAAAAGGCTCGTTAAGGGAAGTCAGGGTTATGAGTAGACCAATCCGAAGGCTAGAAAGAAACAGTTCAGCAGTACATTTCTACAAGATAAGGAACACAGCTACTGTTTTGGAAAACAGGTCCTCACCGAGTTCATGGCTAAATACCCAATCGTTTATTTTGCCTATGGCTCTGAAAACAGTCTAAAGCAAATACACGAGTACTACAAATTAACCAAACATTTTAGTTAGACCATTTACTATATTTAAATGCTATACCAGTGCCAAATATGAATAAAACCAATTGCCAATTGAAGAAATAAAGATGGATGAAGAATGACTATTACCAGACTGGACTAAAGGGACAGAGATAAAACTAACGTATAGAAGATGCACCATCCATCCTTTCCTTATAAAATCACCTTGTCACCTAAGAGCCACCTAAAGCGAGGGCTTCGGCCGGCACACCCCTTTCCCAGCAGGCCTTGGCACCCAAACCAGCAGCCTCCCAATCTCTGCTTCACTTCCCTCTCCTCTCCAACTGTATGACTTTATTCCCTGCTGGAAGGGGAAGGGAGCAGGGCAGCCGGAAGCAAGGCTGAGACTTTACAGTCAGCATCCCAGTTGGGACAGTTCCTGAACAAGTTCCAGGAAAACTAACAGTAGGTCCTCCCCACGAAGGCAGGTTTCACAGAGCAGGAAGCAGAATTTACACCCCAGATCTTACAGAAGTCGACCACTCTCTGCATTCTTACCCAATCGTCTGGCAGCTAGTCATGGAAGAGGCCCTTTCCCTGCATCGCTGTTCTCACTGATGCCAACATATCAAACTTCCAGACTTGCCATTACAGTAGCAGCCCAGAACCCTGCAACTCTTTCATGCCTCTCAGGTCCATGGGCTAACGCAGGGAGAACGTACCCTCTGCAGGCTCATTTGAGGCTGACAGCACAGCTAGACTTCCAAGGGAAGATTTGAGCATACCAAGTATCCTGCCTCAGTGATTTAATTCTAGATGGTATATGTCCTAGAACAATGAGTTTTCACTTTGCAATCTGGGGCAGGAATATGAAGCCTGCTCACCATTCTAGAATAGTGTCTGGTCCCCCAGGCTTGACCCCCTCAGGGACACACACACTATTATCATCTTTATTCTGAAGAAAAGGAAACTGAGGCTTGGAAAAGTTTGTGGCTCACCTGATATCATAATCAGGAGGCAGCAAAATGGGACGCTAGCTCAGGTCAGGCCAAGTTCATCTTCTTTTTTTTTTTTTTTTTGGCTGCAGCACGCAGCTTGCGGGATCTTAGTTCCCTGACCGAGGATTGAACCTGTGTCCCCTGCAGTGCAAGCTCAGAGTCCTAACTGCTGGACCGCCAGGGAATTCCCCAAGCTCATTTTCTTAACCACTGATCATAATGTCTCACTCCCTTATCTTCCATCAACACCAGTTTGATCGGGAAGCAAATGTCATCTGGTACTAGGATCTTAACGTGGCAATTAACCAGGCTGCACAGGGTACTCCGGTCTCTCAAAACAAGTCCTGCTATTCACAGCATCCTCTTCAGATCCTCTCAGAGGGGAAAAAGATTACTTACCCGCTTGTCCCATATCCGTACATCCCCGTCATGACTGGTGGCAAGGCAATTAGCGTTTTTTTTATTCCATTTGACCTGTGAGGCACCCGCTGCAAAGAAAAATCAGGGGAAGAAAGCTGTTGCCCTCAACGCCTTCAGTACCAGAGTGGAGCTTATCCAGGGGAGCTGGATAATGAGCTCCGGATGAGTAAGAACAGAACTCTTCAAGCTTCTAGGACTGTATCAGCTCCATCATTAAGGAGAAAATGAAGCCAAAGAATAAATGAATTAACACATGGGAACAGGATCAGAGTCACCTAATTGAGGAAATAATCTCACTAAGGAGAAAAAAAAAAAACTTCAGGTTACCTCCGAGCAGAATCAGCAGGGAAATACAGTTTCTTACAGAGCGGCGGTTCAGCCCGGCTCTGCTGGCTGGTAACTGACACATCACACAACCTGGCCCTTCATCCTCCTGGACACCAAGCTTGCGCTCCCAATCAGAAGAGCCTCAGCTCAAAGCCTGCTCCTTCCCACACTGGTTTTTTTGGTTTCGCTTCTGGGGGAGGGAGTGTCTTGGAAAAACACAGCCTCCAGATGAGGCTCAGCTGAAGAATAAGCCCCAGTGTGGCCCAATTCTGCCCTCAGAAAATTATGTGCATCCCACCCCCACTCTCATCTCCCCATGAGCAAGCGGTTACACGTGGCCCTGCGTGGAGACAGGGAAAGGGAACACTCCTGGCACCATGTGAACTCAGTCCTCTGCCAGAACACAGAGGTAACAACAATGGGGACAAAAGAGCTACGTAAGAGAGGAGGCATACTGGAAGATGCCAGAAGGGGCTGAGACGGGTGGAAAATTGGGACATAGCAGCATTTCCAGCTGACTCAAAATAATCACGATGATTATGTTAAACCAGAACCACACGATGACTCTCCTTCCACCTCTTCTTGTTCTTTGCTCAGACAACACATGACATTTCTGCTTTGACACCCTCTCCCTTTGGGTGGGTGTTTATTACTTGGGGACACCGCAGTGGATCCAGGACTTTGGAGAGCAACCTGACCAAGAATCCGCAGAGTATGAGACAGGAAGCAAGGACTTAGAACCTAACAGGAAATAGAGTGAGGCCCAGACTTTACCCTTGCTTGGTTTTGGTGAGGGTATTTGTTTGCTTATTTGGTTTTTTGTTGTGTTTTTTTTTCCTTGAGACACAGGGCACTTAAGTCACCTAAGAACGAATGATGGAGACCCTGAAGTTGGAGGATGGTCTCCTATTACTTAGGAGACCCAGTTTCTTTGCAAGAAATGATATCAGCTAGAGGAGAAAGTGTGTAAAAAAAAGACTGCTCCAGGGTTCCTGGTGGCGCAATGGTTAAGAATCCGCCTGCCAATGCAGGGGACACAGGTTCAAGGCCCAGTCCGGGAAGATCCCACGTGCCATGGAGCAACTGGGCCCGTGTGCCACAACTACTGAGCCTGCACTCTAGAGCCCGTGAGCCACAACTACTGAAGTCCGCACGCCTGGAGCCCGTGCTCTGCAACAAAGAAAAGCCACCGCAATGAGAAGCCTGTATACAGCAATGAAGAGTAGCCTCCGCTCACTGCAACTAGAGAAAGCCTGCGCACAGCAACAAAGACCCAACGCAGCCAAAAATAAATAAATAAATTTATTTTTTAAAAAAAATACTGCTCCGTCTCCACGTGACAGTTACCAAAGAATTCAACAACACAGGAAAAAAAATTTTCTCTATGTCTTTAATGTTGTGTCTAAATGCGATGATGGATGCTCACTCAATTTACTGTGGTCATCATTTCATCACGTACGTAAGTCAAATCATTATGCTGTACACAAACTTATACAGTGCTGTGTGTCAATTATATCTCAATAAAACCAGAAGAAAAGGAAAAAGAAAAGAAAAATAAGTTCCAAGAAAATATGCCTTTCCCAGTAGGTGGTCCATCAGAACATGAAGCCTCCCACAGGATTCTGGGAACCCCCTAATTCAATGTGTTTTACTAGGATTGTGACACCAGGGTCAAACGGAGACCTCCCAGACCATAAGAGCCCTCAGAAACAGATAATGCTCTGGAGCACACACGGACATGCTCTTACTGACCCCCTACCCCAAGGTATAAACAATGTGCTCACAGAGAGATGAGGACCACAGGCTCTGGAGAGCCGCAGCACCCGGGCTGCACCTCTCAGGGAATGAGAGCTCTGCCACCACTGAGACCTCACTGAGGTGCAAAAAAGAAAGAAGTCTCCTACCTCTGTTTTTTCAGAAAGACTCCCAAAAGAAAGCAATTAGAATAATCTTTCTTTTTAGAGGTCCTCTATAAGCCATCTAACTTAGAAGCCTGCAAGTAGAAACAACAAAGTCAGGGATGGATGAATGCGGCATTCACAGACCATTAGTAGTTTCTTTCAGCTCAGTGTCCTCTGCAACCACGTCTGTGGGCCATTCTATGCCTCAGGTCATAAGTGCCTACAAGTGTGTGTGCACAGGTTGTGAGGGAGGCACCAGCACAACTGTTAAGCACTCAGCACAAGCGACACAGGTGCCTGAGTTCCACATCCATGGAACAAACACTCCCAGAGCATCTCCACAGGACAGGCGCTTAGGCTGACCCTGGTCTGCAGCCCTGAACAAGACAGACATGGTCCCTAACCTCACAGAACAAACCAACCAACTGCTTAATACAGTCATGATGTTTAATGCCTTCAAATGATGAGGTGTTGGGGTGCAGGGGGATAAAAAGAACAATCATGTGATCATTTTGGAGCAAACACCAAATGTGAATTCATGACGCAAGAAGATACAAAAAAGCAGGATTTAAGAGACAGATAATATGATCTGTTTTGACCAAGGAGGCCAAAATAGAATACTGACGGCTGGGCTTCATCATGGTGAGCAAGGTATACCGGTTCTATGCCCAAGTTCAACTCTCAGGAAGTGGTGAGAATACTCTGTAACAGGCCCAATGCAGCATTGCAAAAATAGTCAAATTCCAACAGAGTGATGAAAACAGGTAGCTCAGAAAGTGATTTCAAAGTTTCAGTATGCCCATAAATGATACCACGGAGACACAATCAGTATAATCTAGACTGTGCGGAAACCGCAGTTTCTTCAGTAAAGAAACTGCAGGGAAGGAAAAACAAACAAACAAACCAAAAAAGGGAAGGGAGGAGAAACCTACCAACTGAAAGAGATGAGAAATATATCAACCACTTATAAATACGGACTTTATTTGGATTGATTCAAATAATTTGTAAAAAGAGAACAAAAAACAAAACTACCGAGACTACTGGGGAAATCTGAATACTGCTTAAATATTTGACGACATTAAAGAGCTACTGTTAATATTTTTAGGTATGCTAATGGTATTGTGGTTATGTTTTTTTTAAAAGGATTCTTCTCTTATTAAAAATACTTAACTGAAATATTTGTTGATGAAATGATATGACACCTGGGATTTGCTTCAAAATAATCCCAAAGGGGATAGGGGTAGGGGTGGGTGGACCAGCGGGTGAAAGAGGAAATAAGATTGTCTGTCGACAACGTTCAAGCTGGATGACGAACACAAGGCAATTCATCCTCTTCTAGTTTTATACACTTTTGAAAGTTTCCACAAGAAAAAGTTTAAAAACAAACCAATGTGGCTCCTGCCCTTGAATTTTGAAATAAGTTCCTGACCACATTCTACAGTCCTGACTCTAACTTCTGAGAAGAGCGGGAGAAGGGCCCTGTGACGTGCACACGACCGTGGACAGAGACTGGGGCATGGGGGACGGGGGGGTCAGTGGGAGCGAAGCAGTGGAAGGAAGGGAATGCAGGCCGCCGGGGGGGCGTCCACTCACCTACAGCAGACAGCGCAACGGTCGGCTTCCGTGTATCTCTGAAACATAAGAGTCAGAAGTCAAAAGCCCGTTCACCTGCCCCCATCCACCTGGTGCCTTTCTCCCACTGCTCGCATTTCTTCACTTTCCTTTCAGTGGGTTCTTAGACTTCAGTGGGAATGTGAGGACCTTAAAAAGTAGTGTAAAGAGAAGCCTGTCTCCCTCCAGGGAGATGAACTTTCTCAGCCTCTTCAGCTGAGGCTAAGTCTGAATTTCCAATTATACAGTTGTATCCACAGAGAACAAATTACACGACCTGGCGTGGCCTGGGTGACTCTGATGTGGGGGTGGAGGGAGCCAAGGGAACCCCTTCCTGGTGTCATTTCTCCTGTGGAACAACGGGACAGTCGTGGAGGCGTAATTCTGCAAGAACCAACAGCACTGCCAAGGTGGACTGGAAAACTACTCTGGGTGTTCCCAACAGCCAAGAGGTAGAAGCAACCTAAGTGTCCACGACTGATGAACGGATAAATACACTACTGTCTCTACATACAATGGATTGTTATTAGACCTTAAAAAGGAAAGCAATACTGTCATGAGCTACCACATGGACGCACCCTGAGGATATTATACTAAGTGACGTAAGTCAGTCACAAAAGGACAAACACTGTATGATTCCACTTACATGTGGTACCTAGAGTCGTCAAATTCATAGAGACAGAAAGTAGAGTGGTGGCTGCCAGGGACTGAGAGGAGGGGGAAACGGGGAGTTGGTTAATGGGTACAGATTTTCAGTTCTGCACGATGAAAAAGTTCTGGAGCTTTGTTGCACAACAATGTGAACATACTTAACACTACTGAACCGCACTCTTAAAAATGATTAAGATGGTAAATTTTGCTTTGTGGCTTTTACCACGATTTTTTTTTTTTTTTTAAACTACGCCTGGATACAATGGGAGACTCAACCATTCACCACGAATGGTCAAAATGACAGAACTGGGCAGCCCCCTAGGGCTAGGAGGGCCAGACAAGGCAAATCTGCAGCCCTGGCTTACTGTTCAGAAGACCTGAGAAGGCAAGTCAGTTCAAGTGTCTTTCAGTCTTTAAATTATGAAAACAACTATTTCATGTAAATGAGGGACGCTTGCCCCAGAGCTCCCAGGGGGCGGTTTGCTCGTTAAGAGCCCCTCTCTTCCACTTCCCCTGGATTTTCTGCTCCTTCTCCCTCCTCTGGCGCTGCCCTTAGACCTGTCACCTTGGAAGCGCTAACCTGCATGGGATGCAGGTGAAGTCAGCTGTGTGCATCCTTACTCCCTGAGGATCCCTTTCCCTGGTCTGTCTGGTCAGTCAAACCTCAATACCTGGCTTGTCCTCTGCCTACAGTTTACCTTTCAGTGTAAAGCATCACAAAGTCACCGCCATTTGGGGGCAGAGTGGCCTGGCTGGGGAGAGGGTGTCCTTTCTGGGGACTCCACAGGCCACAGGCCCTCTAGTTAACAGTTACGGGGAAAGGAATCTGCTGTACAAAGAGAAACGGGAATGGATGTTTAGTAAGAACTCAGGACGCGCCAGGCCCTGGGCTGGGCGCTCCTCCACTCTTTGCTCCATGGAGAGTTGCTCTACGAGGTGGCTCTCAGCCCCCTTTCCAGAGGGGAAGCGAAGCGTCACCAAGAGCAAAGCAGCTGTCCTGCAGCACTGCTCGCTGCAGCACGTGTGTGTCTGTACCCATCAGAATGCCCCCACCGTCACCTGCCACTTCAGGAAGCTCCAGCCTGACTTCCAAATGCCAGAACCTGTGGTTCTCTGACAACGGGATTTCCCTGGCTGCTGAAGCCCATTTTGCAAACCTCTGTGATGGGCCTGAAGTGCCAGGGAGCTGAGGCCCCCGGGGACAGCCTTCAACCAGTGACTGACAGTGACGGCGCCCCCGCTTCCTCAGCCCTCGGAGGGGAACACCTCTGAGGAGGGAGTGTACACCAGCCCCTAGTGTTCCCAGTAAGACCAAGCTCCACCTGTTCATGGTGGTACCCAAGTAGATGATGTGCCCTCTCTGTGTGGCCTTCCCGATCCTGTCTCTCTTCCCACCCCCATAGCAGTTCTGTCCCCTCCTAACAACGTATCTGCAATGTCTCCTCATCTCAGGGTCTGCATCTAGGGAAAACCAAATTAAGATACCCGATCTCTAAAACAAAGGTCCCAGATCATCCCACAGCCAAGGGGTTATGCCTCTTAACGGTTCTTACTTGATATCCCAAATGTAGATGTAGGTGTCCACAGAGCTGGTGACCAGGAGATCTGACTCAAACACTGCCCAGTCCAAGTCACTGGAAACACAAGGAATAAACAGGACAACAACGAAGAGAAAAAATTCAGAGTCCATTTCCAAAGCATTCGCAGATTTCATTTCTAGTGGCTTCAGAAAGTCACTGTTAATTGGCCCCTGAACATGGTTTAGGCTGGGAATCTCCAAAGTTCTTTGGGAAAGAAGACTTAACCAAGCTCTGAAGGAAACTTTCAGGTCCTTCCCTGGTTACCACCTGCTCCCCCAAACCACAAGAAACAGAGCATTTCAACTTAAAACACATACACACACAAAAGCGCACATACGTGCATGTGCGCAAACTAAGACAAAACAAAGAAAAAAACCCCACGTAATTGTTGACATCGTTTTTTAAGTCAGACTCAACCACAGGTACCTTGAGTAAACCCAACATCTTTAAAGCACTGGCAAACTGCCGTGTTGCCTCACAGTTTTCAAGGAGGGCAAGCAGGGCCCTGGTCCTCCCCACCCACGTCCTCACTCCTTGAAAGGCACTTGCTACACAAACAGTTAACACAGGCCGGAGGTTCTGGCCTTTCCCATCACCTCCCACGTCAGCTTCACCACTCCCACACTTCCTGCTGCTACTTCTCACAAGAAGTTTTCCCCACCCAGAAAAGGATGGATCCAGGAACATTCCAGAAGCCAGCTGGAAGGCCACGAGTGGGAAGCAACTGGGCATCTGGGTAACGGACTATGATGCAGGAGCTCCACGTGGTGCCCCACTGTGTCTGGACAGAGAGCAAAGGGCTGGCTCCCAAGGTCTCTGTGCTCCAGGGCACCGCCGACCATGAGCTGGGGGATTCTGTGGGCGTAAGTTCATCTCCCTCCTACAGCAAACAGCTCTAACCCTTTATTCTGGACCAGGCTGTACCTAAGTGTCTCCTGGGATCGGGGTTAACAGCTACAGGGATGCTGGCTCCTAAACACTGGCTGTTCCTCGCTGCAAAGACCATCACTTCAGGACTGCTAAGGACGCAGCAGCCACCTGGGGCCAATGCAACACAGAGGGTCCAGCCTGGAGGGGGACGGTGTCTTTGTTTCACTTCCTGAGACACTGTGACAAAGTGAGACAGGCCAGGGAGCAGTGGAGGGCTGTGCCTACCTGATGACACGAGTGTGGCCTTGTAAGGTCGTGCTGACTTCCCCACTGCCGTCTTTCCACTTATAAAGGTCGACACGTTGGTTGCTCTGAAAAGAGACAAGGGGAAACCCATCTTGAACAGTTATGGCTGAACTAAGGCTACAGACACACTCGTGAGCACGTGAGCTATGGGTTATGGAGCCGCCCCCAACCATCAGAGGAAAATCCTCCCTGCCCTAACGGTCACACACCCATCTCCCCAGCTGCTGTCACACTCCATGTTCTCAGCTCACCCTTCCCACCATCAAATGCCCGGAGTCCACCTACCACACTTTGAAAAAACACATGCATGAGAAAGAAAACAGAATCACCACTAAAAGGGTGTCCTAGAAGGCAAAATTATAGAAGACTCCTTGAAATATGAACTTCTTTAAGGGTTAAGCAGAAAGACACAGGGAAATGGGCCAGAAGAAACCACAATTACAATAAGGAGAAGGAAGAAAAACAAAGCTTCAACCAAACTACATTTCTCTTAAAGAAACAAGCCAGCAAATGCTCCCTAAATATCACGAGTTCATGAAACACACTGAAAATGGATAAAGATTACTAATAGACTAAATACTATTAGTAGGCTATTTAATAATTTCTGAACTGATATATATATATATATATATATATATGTATATGATGGATTTTCATTTTAGCTCAGAGACAGATAGTTGTATACAGCTCTGAAATTTTTATCCAGAAATGCCAGTTTCCAGTTCTAAATAGGTAAGGTTCCTGTCAAAAGGTAAGGATTCAAAATAGCTTCCAATGGGAATAGGAGTGTAAAGAAAAGCACCCCCTCATCTTTTCTATTTATTTATTTTTTTGCGGTACGCGGGCCTCTCACTGTTGTGGCCTCTCCCGTTGCGGAGCACAGGCTCCGGACGCGCAGGCTCAGCGGCCATGGCTCACGGGCCTAGCCGCTCCGTGGCATGTGGGATCTTCCCAGACCGGGGCACGAACCCGTGTCCCCTGCATCGGCAGGTGGACTCTCAACCACTGTGCCACCAGGGAAGCCCCCCCCCCATCTTATAATAACATTCCTAGCCATTTCCAGGGTCTGCTAGTGCCAGTTTATGCACTAGGAACCTTAAGAAACCTGCCCTCTGCTCTTTCCCATCACACTGCACACTGGGTGTCATCACCCACATCACAGGTGAGGCAACTGAGGCTCCGAAAGTTGGATGGGCGCTCAAGATAAAACAGTGAGTGTTGAAACTGGGACTTGACCTCAGATTTGCCTAACTCCAAAGCTCTTTCTCCTGAAAATGCTTGCCTTCCAACCAAGAGCAATGAAGGGAAAAAAAAAATCAGTAAATTGAACTTCATCAAAATTAAAACTTTTATGTATCAAAAGATGTTATCAAGAAAGTAAAAAGACAATCTACAGAATTGGAGAAAATATTTGCAAATCATGTCCTTGATAGGAGTCTAGTATCAGGAATACATAAAGACCTCTTACAACTCAACAGCAAAAAGACAAACAACCCAATTCAAAAATCGGCAAAGGACTTGAATAAACATATCTCCAAAAAATGATATACAAATGGCCAGCCAGCACGTGAAGGGATGTTCAACATCATTAGTCACTAGGGAAATGCAAATCAAAACCACAGTGAGACACCACTTTATACCCACTAAGATGGCTAGAATTTTTAAATTACAAAAACAAAAACAGGAAATAAATTTTGGTGAGGCTGGATTGTGCATTGCTATGCAATGCTAATGCATTGCTGATGGGACTGCAAAACGGTCTTGTGCATTGTAGAAAACAGTTTGATGGTTCCTCAAAAAGTAAAACACAGACTTCACATGGCCTTTCAATCACTCCTAGGAATATACCCAAAAGAAGTGAAAATGAGTACCCAAAAAAGTACATGTACAGGGCTTCCCTGGTGGCGCAGTGGTTAAGAATCCACCTGCCAATTCAGGCGACACAGGTGCGAGCCCTGGCCCGGGAAGATCCCACATGCCGCGGAGCAACTAAGCCCATGCGCCACAACTACTGAGCCTGTGCTCTAGAGCTCGCGAGCCACGACTACTGAAGCCTGCGCACCTACAGCCGGTGCTCCGCAACCAGAGAAGTCACTGCAATGAGAAGCCCGCACACTGCAACAAAGAGTAGCCCCCGCTCGCTGCAACTAGAGAAAGCCCGCGCGCAGCAACGAAGACCCAACGCAGCCAAAATAAATTAAATAAATAAATAAATTTATTTAAAAAAAAAAGTACATGCACGTACATGTTCTTATCGGCACTATTTATAACAGCCAGCCCAAATGTCCATCAGTGGATGAACAGACAAAATGTGGTGTATCCCTATGATGGAATATTATTCAGCCATAAAAAGGAGTAAAGTACTGATACATGCTCTGACGTGGATAAAGAAGCCAGACACCAAAGGTCATGTATGGTATGACCGCATTTATATGAAATATCCAGAATGGCTAAATCCAGAGATGGAACACAGACTGGAGGTGGCCAGGGGCTGTGGGTGGGGGAATTACTGCTTAATGGTAAGGGAGTTTCCTTTGGAGTGATGGAAATGTTTGGGAACTAGATAAAGGTGGCAGTTACATAACACTGTGAATGTAGTAAATGATACTGAATTGTTCACTTTAAATGATTGTCTGAAAAAAATAAATAAATAAGGCTCTTTCTTGCCACTCCCAAACACATGCAGTATTAATCCACTTGGGCCTAGTACTGAAGGGTCAGCCTAAATCTGTGCTTCCCAATCAGGGGAGATTTTGCTTCCCAGGGGACACCTGACAATGCCTAGAGACATTTTTGGCTGTCACGATGGGGGTGGGGGAGGATGCTACTGGCATCTAGTGGGCGAGGGGCCAGGGATGCTGCCAATTTCCTACAAAGCACAGGACAGCCCCCACCACAAAGAATGATCTGGCCTGACCTGTCAACAGTCCCAGGGATCAGGTCCACTTTAGTCGTTGTCCCTGGTTCAAGGCAGACAGTCAGATTCTATTTTGGAAATGATGGGGAACGGCAGCTTTTTGTTCCTTCTAAAGCTGACAGCATTGCTCTTCTTTCTTTTGTGAGACGCTTTCCTCTCACAGACTGTCATTCCCGACAAGAACAGACCCAGACAGCACTGCGAATGGTCATATTCCCTGGAGGATGAGAAGGGCTCCTTCAAATACTGCCCTCCCGGCCCAGTGCAAAAGGAGCCAGAGGTTTAGGTCTCTAATTGTCCTAGGAGAACAGAACACTGATAAAGAATCAGGCAAGGGATACCAGAGATGATCTAAGCCCAGATATTTTTTCCGTTGTGAACCTCTTGGAAAACCTAATGAAACATATGCATCTTTTCCCTGGAAGAATTCACATATGAACAGGATTCAATCAAAAAAGAATCCCTTCCTTTGAATGGAAGGGTGTATGGAATCTTCTGATCCCTCTGAAAGCAATGACAGTTGCCCCCAGACCAGCTCACCAGGTCCTTCCTTAGAACGTCTTTCAGTCACTGGCTAGTTACATTCATGCAGAAAATGGATTCTTATCACACACAGACATAGAGGTATCTACCTGTTTCCCTTTCCAAATCTGGATTCAATTCTTAGAATTACCGATGGTACCCCCAATTCTTTTCATATACATTTAAATCTGTAATTGCCTCCATCTTCCTTTTAGAACCATGCAACCCCTCTTTGCCGCCTGAGAAATGACGATTATGTCCTCTTCTCTACGTAGAACACAGACCTACCAGCCTAGATCTCACATTTAAAAGACTTTTCCGGGCTTCCCTGGTGGCGCAGTGGTTAAGAATCCGCCTGCCAATGCAGGGGACATGGGTTCGAGCCCTGGTCCAGCAAGATCCCATATGCCGCGGAGCAACTAAGCCCGTGCACCACAACTACTGAGCCTGCACTCTAGAGCTTGTAAGCCACAACTGCTGAGCCCATGCGCCACAACTACTGAAGCCCGTGCACCTAAAGCCCATGCTCCACAACAAGAGAAGTTACCACAATGAGAAGCCCGCGCACCGCAACAAAGAGGGGCTCCCACCCGCCACAACTAGAGAAAGCCCGCGTGCAGCAATGAAGACCCAACACAGCCATAAATAAATAAATAAATTTATAAAAATAAAAAAATAAAAGCCTTTTCCTGTATTCCTTGAATGAGCTCACCGAGGCTGCAAAATAGTGCGCGAAGCTGTCATGAGGATTCCACTGCACGGCTCCAATGTCCCACTTGCTCTGGCGTGAGATCTTTCTGTGACCTTCGAAGGGGGCATCTAGACTGACGATGTATAGGAATCGGCGGCTAGGAAAACAACATCAACATTATGAAAACAGAACAGCATTAGCACTAAGATAGAAAAGTACATTTGGAATGACATACGGTTCGCAAGCAGTGCTCAAAAAATCCCCAGATGTACATGACGTTTATCGACTCCGAAAGGCATACAAGTGACAAGAGTAACTCGTGGCTGCTGGGCAAGTGGGAGCCATACTCCCTGTGAGATCTGTCTCTAGAGATGGTCCTCCCTCCCATATCCATGGAAGTCTGACCTCCTCCACCAGATTCAGCTCCAGCCCAGCCCTCTCCCAGGCTTTTCCAATCCCCCAGTTAGGATCATAGCTGCTTCCACACGACTCCCATGACACAGTCTGCATTTGGACTACAGCACAGCACTTATCTCTGTAGCAGAACTGCTAACGTAAATGTTCCTGTCCCAAACCAACTGAGTGTTTGGGGTATGGAGCATGTCTTGAATATCTCTATATGTCCCTCCTCACTAGGCACAGTGCTTTGCATGCAATAAACGTGTGTAAAATTAAACACCTCGCTTATCACTTAGCTAAATAATTTGAGAAGATCTCAAATTCCCGTGCAAGTTGACTACTTGGTGATGGGAACTAAATTAACACTATCAGAAGGGGAAACAATAACCAAAAAATAATAATAATGAAAATAATAATAAGTGCCAATAATGTTCAAGGTGCCAATCAATATAAAGGATCTGAAAACGGTGATGTCCTTTGTTCACCTATTTTCCTTCTGTTTTAAGAAAAAAATCCTTGGTGTGTGTATCAACCTCTTCAGCAGCCATCAGCGGTTCTTTGTTGGGGAGCGCTCCAAGCCCCCGGGAGTCGGCGAGGACAGGTGGGCTCGATAATGAAGAAAAAGATTAACTGTCCCCGCTGAGAACAGACAGGAAGTAGAAGGTTAAAATGGCATGTAGAACTCTAGCAGAAACCCGAGGAGGGATGGATTAAGAGAGAAAGGAAGCACAGGTAAGACACAAACTAAGAGAATTTCTGGGGCTTCTGAGAAAGTTGATATAGTACAAAGACCTAGAAACTCTGACCTCTTCCTAAGGAATCATCTGATCCCATGGCAGGCAGGCCGGCATTTCCCATTAGAATGAAACAGGGCAAAGGCCAAGCACTATATATATGGCATGTTTTTCAGCAGGGGAAATCAGAGACAGTACAGGGCAAATGCAGAACAGCAGAAGGTGGGCACTTCAGGATAAACATGCCTGATTGGACATAACATGTTTGTCTTCATCCCCCACTGAAGACCCACTAGAGTAAGAGTGAAAACATAAAAGACGGAAACCCACAAAGAAAATGAGGGAGGAAACGGAAAGCCGACAGAAAAATGGTTAAGTGATCCAGGGGAAAAACAACCAGCACCCAAGGGCCTGCAGAGCGAGCTGGTTCACACTGTGGAATCCAGGCCCGCAGGAGCTGGAGAGGAAGAGAAACTACCTCAGAGGAGCCCTGGGCCTGGGACGAGAGGCACGGCAGGGGGTGAGTGAGAGCTGCTGTGCTCAAAACAGGGCAGGAAGTGGAGGGTGAGACGCTCAGGCCTCTTTCCCTGCTCAGAACTCACAACACATGGCTTTTAGTCTTCAGATGGTGACTAATGACAAGCGGATTCTTCTCAGGAGGAAGTGTGCAGCCCAAGAAAGAACGAAAGTGAACAAAACAACAACAACAATAAAGCCCTGGAGATGATGGCATCTGGGCACCCTCCAACAAAAGGGCCTAGTTCCCACCTAATCTCCCTACAGTGGATCCCACCATTGCACACGTAAACAGAGATTCCACTCACTCTTTAATATTAACAGAGAGCCCATGAGCATCAGTCACAGCAGGAAACTTGAAAGACAGAGACCAACACAGCCAAAAGGAAAAGAAGGAAATGGGCGGCACAGAGGAAAGAAGAAAACCTAGAATTAATATTCTCAGAGACATGAAAGAAGACAATTTAAAGAACAGAGAACAAGAGCTCTTGGAAACTAAAGTTATAGTTGAAATTTTAAAACCTGACAGAAGGGTTGGAAGTTAAAGTTGAAGAAAACTCCCGGAATGCAAAACAGAAAGATAAGAAGACCGAAAGTTCAGAAGAGAATCCATACAGGATATCCAACATGCACTAAGAGAAGCTCCACAAAGAATGAGGAAAATTATCAAAGACATAATGCTGGAAAATTTCTCCAAACTAAAAGACACAGATTTCCAGACTGAAAGGGCCGTCCCAGGTGCTAAAATTATTTGTTATTTTAATCTGAATGGTGACCATATGGGTGTATATATATGTAAATTTATTTGAGCTGTTCACTTAAGCATACACTTTACTACACATAGTTTAAAGTTCAATATAAGAAAATGAAATGGTGAACTTCAAGATCATGTTGAAAAATAACATGGACGTATGCATGTCTAAGAACACATCAGAATAAGAACACTCGCATGATTTCCAGTTATATAATCCCGTTCTCTCCTAGAATGCTACAAATGACAATATCCACATCAGTCAATACTGAGAAATCTAACGTCTGAGATACAGTTCTTCCAGGGCACCTGCAAGTATTTTATGGGTTGTTAATATGGCTACATAATGCCAAGTATATGTTATTTTTCTATTTGTTTAGATAAAACAGGTAATAATGTCAAAAACGGGAGGAGGGTCCCTCTAAGTGCCCAGCACAATGAATGAAAAAAGACACATACCAAAGCGGTCACAGTGAAAATTTCACACACACGAGAGGTAAAGATAACACTAGGGATAAAGATAGGATTTCTCCAAAGAGAAAAAATAGGTCACATACAGAGTCCAGAATCAGAATGGCATAGGATCTCTTGACAATAACTCTGAGAAAAAGAACTCCACATACTGATTTAACCCAACAATTGTTACATGACTACATTGGAAGGAGGGGGAAGGCCAGGTATATATACATAAGGGACTCACAACTGAAGTAAAAGTGCTAAATATTCATCATCTACTGTAAGAAGTCAATTTGAATATCTGTGATGGATAAATCAAGATACAGCAGTGCATGTAGTACACCACTCGGAAAAATAGAAGCAACCCGAAATAAACAGCTCAGGAGTCTTAACTGGTTGCCTCTGGTGAGTGAGATCAGGGTGGGGAAAAAGGTGAGGTGGGGGGCTTCCCTGGTGGTGCAGTGGTTAAGAATCCACCTGCCAATGCAGGGGACACGGGTTCGATCGCTGGCCCGTTAAGACCCACATGCTGTGAAGCAACTAAGCCCGTGCGCCACAACTGCTGAGCCTGTGCTCTGGAACCCATGCTGTGCAACAAGTACAGCCATGACAGTGAGAAGCCTGCGCACCCCAAGGAAGAGTAGCCCCTGCTTGCCTCAACTAGGGAAAGCCCACGCACAGCAACGAAGACCCAATGCAGCCAAAAATAAATAAAATAAATAATTTTTTTAAAAGGGTGAATTGCATGGTATGTGAATTATATCTCGATAAAGCTATTTTTTAAAAAAGTGAGTTTGGCTGGGGCAGAAAAGAGACATACCAATTTTTCCTATCTATGCATTCAGGGTGACACAAGAAAATGGTATTATCAATAACTGTCTCTGGGGAGTGGAGTCAGAGGTAGGACGGAAACTTACTTTCCATGGTATATCCTTCTGAATTAATGTTTGCTATGGTTTTATTTAAAAGTAATTTAAAACACGATTTCAAAATAAAATAATGAATAGAAAACACTTCATTTTATAAATGGGTTCATAAACAACTAAGTTAACGAACATATAGCTAAATCTGAGAGGTAGTAATCTAGGGCAACATGAAAGGAAAGGGACTCTGACCATTAAATGTTATCATACTGGTACAATGTTAGGATGATTAGCAAATGCAGGGACCTTAATTGCCAGAATCTTAATTTTGAACCAGAAGACACTACAGAAATTATGTAGTTCAACTTCTTCATGATGAAATCGAATTGCTTCATGAGAAAACCGAAGTCCAGGGAGGCCAACTGAATAAATGTCCAAGGGCTCATAATCAATGGCCAAACTGTAACCCAGATCCTCTCAATCCTAGGAACTAGCTACCTGTTAGACCATACCAGACAGCATCCTTCTGAAGAGTCCATGCACTAAACAGAAAATGGCAATTTCAAGACCAAGCTACCAGTCACTAACATTTCAAAGGAATTTTATTGCTCACCTGTTAGGGCAGAGAAAAAAATAAACTGCAAATAATGCCCACAACTACCACTGAGGTCACTAGGACAGCAGAACTAAACCCTATGACTGTAATCCTTAAATAAGAAAGTATTTTCCAATTTCCCAGAAACCTCTTGATTTGCAATTTGTTCCCAGAAATTGTGGCAGACGAACGCTGTAAGCTCACTTACCCGGAAAGCACTGCATGCTGCCCCAGACAGTCCACAGACATTGCAGTTGCCTGTGAGAGAGAACACAGATTCAGTTCTGCCAGCAAAGCCAGCTCAGGTTAGAGAAGACAGGCAGGTAGACACCTGTGGGTCTTCCTCTTCCCGTGGCCCAGGCAGTCCCCGGCTGGCAGTTCTCTACAGTGGATACCTTAACCCCCTTCTAATTCTCATTCAAATCTCACATTCACCTTCCACAATAGGGCAGCAGTTGTCTGTTCTCCCTGAGACCAGGGCTACACACAATCTAACCTGGGACATCTTTCTCTCTCTCTCTCTCTCTCTCTCTCTCTCTCTCTTTCACACACACACACACACACACACACACACACACACATATACACACATACACACACCATCCATGCCTTCCCAAAGGGCATGGACTCCTCCTCCAAGCCGAATGGCAATTGGTAATATTCAAACACCACCTCTGCTGAATCCACGGTCACATTCTTGTCATTGAGATGCCCAGTTCCCATTTAATCTGAGATTTCCAGCACCTTTTACTGCCTTCCATTTCCCAGGTCTCCCAGTTCCTAGGGATCACCATCTTTTCAGGATCTGATGTCCAATTTCCCAAAGACCACACCGAACCAAACAAATCTACATTCAGGCTGGAGCGTGAGGCTAATTTTAATCATGGGAGTTATAGCCCTAAATTCTCTTATTTGGACAAGTTCAAGTCCTGCTGTATTCTCAGGGCATTATCTGCAACAGTTTGTGCCGTTGTTTGGTTATTAAATGCTCTAAGTTCTTTCCAAGAGTCTATCCAGAGAGAATGCATTTTGTACATTCCGCTACACTCACACATCACAAATGGTAAACAGAAATTCTCTTCCTCACTCTCGCTGGTCTTATTAATGGGTTTCTCACTTGTACACCCTCAAGAAACACGTCACAGGTAACATTAGGGACAAGAAGCCAGAGTGCTTTCACTGGAGGCTGAAAAGGGATTATTATGCATCCTTCATTCCACTAGAGTCATGAGCAGAGAATAGCCCAGCTGGAAAAGCAGGCAGTGAAATGAGATGCCATTTCCAGGACTCTTCTGTGCAATGTATACATTAAGGGTATGAAAGAGGGCAAGATGGTACCTCCAACCAGGGACGGTACCATCTTTCTAGAGTGTGTGTGGTAGCAAGAATCCTAAGGTGGCCCCAAGATTCTGGGTCCTTGGTGTACATACACATTCTCCCCATTATTCAAACACTAATCTAGGTACTGCTACAAACGGATTTTGAGATGTAATTAAAGTCCCAAATCAGTTAACCCTAAGAAAGAGAGACCCGAAACAACCCAAACGCCCATCAGCTGATGAATGAACAAACAAAACGTGGCATATACACACAATGGCATACATGCTACAGTATGAATGAACCTTGAAAACATTATGCTAAGTGAAATGTCAGACAAAAAAGGATAAATACTGCATGATTCCACTTATATGAGGTGTCTAGACTAGGTAAATTCATAGAAACAGCAAGTACAGTAGAGGTTGCCAGGGGCTGGGGGTGTGGGGTGTTATTGTTTAATGAGTACGGAGTTTCCGTTTGAGATGACGAAAAATTTCTTGGGGGAGGGAGGAGGGGGAGATAGAGAGACCTAATCACATCAACTCTTTAAAGCTAAGTCTAGAGGTCAGAGACAGAGGAAGTCAGAGATTTGAAGGGTGAGGGATTGATTTAACATGGAGAAGACTCTTTGCTGCCGGCTGTGAAGATGGACAGACCACATGGCAGAAGCTGAGAGTGACCTCTAAATAACAATCAGCAAAAAACCAGGGACCTCTGTCCTATAACCCTCAGGAACCGAATTCTTCCAACAACCTGAATGAGTTTGTTAGCAGATTCTTCCCTAGTCAGCTGAGCCTCCTGACGAGAACACAGCCAACGGATGCCTGGGTTTCAGCCTATGAGACTGAAGAGAGAAAGCAGTCAGGCAGAGCCTGGATCTCTGACCTACAGTACCGTGAGCTAATAAGTCTTTTTTTTTTTTTTTTTTTTTTTTTTTTTTTTTGGCCACGCTGCACAGCATGCAGGATCTTAGTTTCCTGACCAGGGATCAGACCCATGTCCCCTGCAGTGGAAGCGTGGTGTTCCAACCACTGGACCACTAGGAACTCCCCTAAAGTCATGTCCTTTGACTCAGTAATTCCACCTCCAGAATCTATCCAAAATACAGCCAAAACTTTCATACACAGAGTTGTTGAATTCATGTTATCTATAAGTAAATTATAGATCTCTAGACAATGAAATGTTCTAGAAGCATTAAAGAATGACATAGAAAAATGCAGGAGCCTGCAATGAGAGTATCATAACTCACCATATCACCTTATCAGAGCAAGTTATTTTTTAAGAAGTAAAACAAAAAAACCCACACCTAACTGATATTTCCCTACTCCTATCCCAGAAAGAAAGAGGCCAACGTTATGCTTGCAGGAGCACATGAAGGAGGGTTTGCTAGGCTGTCCCAAAGGGGGAAATGGAGAGAGGGAAGTGCTTTAAGCAAAGAACCTAAAAATAAACTCACCAGAGTAAAAGGTGGTGCTTTGTCAGGGACAAGAATCCCCCTGGAAAGGCCTCAGCACCCTCAGTGCACCCGATGGGGAATGGCTGAGAGATGCTAAGTCTGGGCATCAGGGGTGAAGAACCATAGGGTTCTTGTATGATCTCACTGTAAAGAGAGGAAGGGAGCCCCACAGTGACTGAGAGAGAACCTCCCACCAGCCTGCAGGCAGAGCCCTGCTGCAGATTAAAGACAACTTAGAGGAGTACAGGAAAGTGGTATTTCATTCCTTACTATGAACTAAAATTTAAATCAGCTACTTAGCCTGAAAAAAGTATCCCAAAATGTTTAGATGGTAGTTGTTCCTATGGGATTTTAATTTTATTCCTCTCAATGAGTCTACATTTATGTATTATTTCTATATTTGCATTATTTTATAATAAAAAGCACTTTCTTTCCGAGGCTCCTTCCAACTCTCTTCTCTTTCCATTCCTCTCATCTAGGCCTGAGACTTGGTCTACAGCAACACCCTCCCAACAGTCTACCTTCCCCTCTCCCGTCTCCATTCAACCTAACACTGAACCTCTGAAGACACAGTTCTAATTACATCAATCCACTGCTCTCAAACCTTTGTTGGTTTTTCTCACTCTGAATAAAATCAAGCATAGACTCCTCAGCCTTCAGGTCCTTCCAAATCAGACACTTACAGAATTTCTCAGGCTGACCCACTCTCTACCTGCTCAAGCCACACCCATTCACAGCACTCACCCGATTCTGCAACTCTCCCAATTCTGAAGAGATGCTTAAGCTCTTCCTTCCGCCTAGAAAGTCCTTCTCTCCTACTCTGCTGTTGAAATTCTACTCAACTTTTAAGGCTCAAGACATACCTCCTCTAAGAAGCTCACCCAGCGTCCACCAAGGGGACTCCACCTTCTCCTAAAGTACCTTCCCTGCCCCTCCATCACAGGACTTGCCTTAACTTGCTTTGTGGTACAGTGAGTCCCCTACACATGAATGAGTTCCATTCTGAGAGCAAGTATGTAAGTCCAATCTGTTCACAAGTCCAACCAAGTTAGCCTAGGTACCCAACTAACACAATCAGCTATATAGTACTGTACTGTAAAAGGTTTATAATACTTTTCACACAAATAATACATAAAAAACAAACAAACAAAAAATAGAGACAACATTTTTAATCTTACAGTACAGTACCTTGAAAAGTACAGTAGTACAGTACAACAGCTGGCATACAGGGGCTGGCATCGAGGGAACAGGCAAGAAGAGTTACTGACTGCAGGAGGGAGAGGAGGTGGGAGATGGTAGAGCTGAAGGATCGCCAGCAATAGGAGACGGAGGGCAAGCTGCAGTTTCACTCACGCCTGATGTAGATGGAACGCACGTTCACATCTTTGAAAGTTCGCAACTTGAAGGTTCGTTTGTAGGGGACTTACTGTAGTTACTGCTGTGCACATTGATCCTCTCCCATGAGCTGTGAGCCCCTGCAGGTGAGGGCCTATTTCATTTCTCCCAGAGCTCCCAATGAGGTACTTTGTGAATGCAGTCACTCTGCACACATCTGATAGTTTTGAAGATGGGTCAGAACCAGGTGAAAATCAGGGTCCTCCCAGCTCGGAATGTGCCGACATCTCAAAGTTTTTCAGTAGTTTCCCTTGCTAATTTATCACCCATGAATTTATCTATACTTCTCCAGTTCCCTCACTTTTTTAATACCTCCTAGGATAATGAACTTTGATAGTTCATTGCCTGCTGTGGGAAACCTTCTACTGGAATAGAGAGAACTGACGAGCAAAGTTTGTGTACCTTATCCCCACATTTTATGATGTAAAATTCCAACCATACCTTTTCTGAACCTTTGTTTTTAGAAATTGAAAATTCCTCTCCCACCTGCAGGAAACAAACTTATGTTCAGAAATGCTCCCTGTCAAGGTGACATCTTTAGACAAAAGAGAATAAAGTTCTTTACAGCCCTGTCCTTTCTGCAGGATGGTGGCCTTTGCAGCACACTTTAGGAGTCATATGACCTCGACAAAATAAGACTGCCATAGCACTGACAGTGACGGTTGATTCTTACTGGCCTAGAGAAAATGTAATTCATAATGTGGAAAAGAAAAGCTAACTGATGGCTGATAAAAGGTACCATTTCATAAGACTCTGTGAGCCTCTGTACACAAATTGCTGCTGCCCTTGTTCAAAAAAATCATTTTTTCATGAAGGCTGCTGTGTTCTTAAGCATTTGGTCTCACCAATCCAAAGAAATTGACTGCGTTGCATCAAAAGGAAGAAAGTTTCTACATGGCATTTCTGCAGACATAAAACACAGTTCATCTGGTGCAGCAGAAAGGATGTGCATGGGCTTTATGTCAGACTGGATTCAGAAGCCTCTTCTACCACCTCTCCAGTGGACAACAATAAAAAATGGTCCAGCACAGGTTGTCACTGGCCTCCTGCACTGTTGGCTGTTTACTGGCTGTTTTACTTGATCATGTGG